CTCTCACTGGAAAGACACACTTGGGCCAGTGAGATGGTCCAGAAAGTGAATTAAAATAGTAAAGAGGAATTTGAAGCCAGGGTGAACCTGAGAAACCCGAGAATGTATGGAATTCTCAGGAGAGGGCTGGAGCCATTGTCATCCAGGTCCCAAGGCACAAGGAACCCCTGAACGACATTTGCTGTGGGGAAAGGAAGGAACAGGAAGAAGTATAGGTAAGAGAAAGTGAAGGAAGGGAAAACGGGGGGAGCGTTCCAGAAGGGGAAGGAAAATAAAAAAGATAAAAAGAGAGTTCTACATGGACTCTGTCCAGTGTGACAGCCACTAGCCAGATGTTGCTAGTGACGGCAAATCCAAGTCGAAGTGCACTGTGAGCATAAAATACGTATCAGACCTTCCCCCCAAATATAAGACATCTTATCAGTTTTGGGGAGGAGTGGGACTAGGGATTAAACCCAGGGCCTTCCCACTGAGCTATATCCTTAGTCCTTTTTAAAAAGTTTTTTTATTTTGAGACTAGGTCTTGTTAAGTTGCATTCCACTCGAATGTGTGGTCCTCCTGCCTCAACCTCCCAGAGTGCTGAGATTACAGATGTGTGCCACTGCACTGGGAAGAACCAGAGGCTTCTCTTGCCAAAAGGAGCCCACACACCCCTGAGAACCTGTGCTCTATGGGAGCAGCAGTCCCACCAACCCTGTGACCAGGTCCCATCCTGGCCCCCACTGATTGGTCCTGCTGTGGACACCTGAGTGTTGCTGGACCAATCAGATTCTCCCTAGTGGAGCCACTTGATAAACAGAGATTGCTAACCAACCCCACTCTGCAGGCAAAAATGGAGGCTCAGGAGCTGAACTGCCTACCCCAGAACCCACTGCAAATAAGGGTGTAGCCCCTCCCAGAACCCAGCAGCCTCTGCCTTGGAATTCACTGCTGTTTGGTGTCCCCAGGATACTGTTAGGAACTCTCAGGCTGTGGAAGGCACCAGAACACCAGGGTTGTAAGGGCAGAGGGAGAAAACCGGTCTCCCAGGAGAAAGGAAGCAGGAAGGTGGCCAGAGAGAACATCCCTGTGGCCAGATGCTTAAGAACCAGGATACTTTACAGGGCATAAATTTAAAAACATCTGCCTGTTTCTGCCATTCCACCACTCCAAAGGAAGCTTCAAGTACACTGGGATTTAGGCATCTGGCAGAGAGCCTACTGCATCGCAGACACCCAATACATATTTGTCAAAGAAAGAATGGGTGGCTGAATGCATAATGTAAAGAAAAGTGCAATTCTGTACTGAATCGGACACCTTAGGCCATGGGCGTCCCTCCCACTTTTGTTTTTTTGAGACAGGGTCTTGCAGTGTAGTTGAGGCTGATCTAGAACTTGCAGCTCTCTTCCTGCCTCAGCCTTCCAAGTGCTGGGATTACAGGTGTGCCCCACCAAGCCCTGCTTGAGGTCCAGTATTTTTGAGGACTTCCCCCAAAGAGAGAGGAGTCCCTGGGTCCAAAGAGGGGTCCCCCCCAGAATCCACTTTTTTCTTTGAGATTATGTCTGGGAACCTGTGAGCCCCCTGCCCCAGACAGCCATATCCTAATAGCAGAGCCTGTGAATATGTTACCTTTCATGGCAGCCGACTTGGCAGATAGGACGAAGCAAAGGGTTGTGAGATATGATTATGGTGGGTGATCGGGGTGGGCCCAAGACAATTGCAGAAGAGAGGGCAAGAGAGTCGTCAGAGGTGTGTTGCTGGAGAGAGAAGTCAGAATGACTTCGGGCCACGAGCCAAAGAATGTGCGAGCCCCAGGAAGCTAGAAAAGGCAAAGGATCGGCTTCCGGGGAAATACCAGGAGGAAGAGTCCCAGGGCTTCTTAACTTGAATATAGTAGCCTTTCAGGTTGCTAAGAAGGTATATTTGAGCAGGGCACTGTGGTCATATCTGTAATCCCAGCACCTTGGGAGGCTGAGGCAGAAGAATCTCAAGTTTGAGCCTACCCTGGGTGATTTAGATTTAGCAAGATCCTAGCTCAAAATAAAGAAGGGCACAGGATGTAGCTCAGTAGGAAGGCCCTGTCCCCCACATATAATACCCTGTCCCCCACATATCCAAGAAAGAAAGAAGAGAGAGAGAAGGAGAAAGGAAGGAAGGTACAGTATATTTGGCAAGGCAGGGGGCTCAATATATTGAATGGTTTGTTAGTTTGATTTATGAAGTTTAAATGCATATGGTCCGTGAGCCTGTGAGCCTCTACTGTTCAGTACTGGGGATCGAACCAGGACCTTTGCACTGAGCCACATCCCCAGCCCTTTTTAATTTTTAACTTTTATTTTGAAACAGGCTTTCCATAAGTTGCTAAGTTGCCCAGGCTGAGCTTGAACTTGGGATCCTCCTGCCTCAGCCTCCCGAGCACTGCAATGACAGGTATGTGCTGCCACACCGGGTCCACTGTCCTTCTGCACCAGACCCTGCGAAGGTTCACAATGCACCTGTCCAGAGGCTCATTTAACAAAAGTCTGTGACCCAGCCTGTAACGACATTGTGGTAATTGTGCTTCTGTGCAGAGGGTAAGGGAGACAGAGGTAAACCCAAGGAGGGCAGGGGTGGGGCAGAGAGCACAGCAGTTGCTGCAGGTGCCCGATAAGAAAGTGCCAAAGTTCTCGGTGTCAGAAACAAGAGGCTCGCAGGCCCACACGCGGAGGACACACAAAAACCATGTGGTCCCCAGAACTCAAGAGGGAACATAGAGAAATGGAGAAAGAAAAGCTGGCAAGAGAGAACTTGCAAAGTGGCAAAAATACAAACTCTCTGGGGGCAGGACTGACAGGTGGCTTGGCTAGCACATCACCATTTACCTCTCCTCATTCACCCTCTTCTACAACAGAGGCTGAAGTCTGACGTGATGGACTTCCCAGCTCCCTTTGCAGTGAAGAGTGGCCCTCTGAGAGGTTTTGTGAAACAGCCAGAAGTCCCTGTAAATAGCTTATTTTTCCGAATAAAAGGCAGAGTCCTACCAGCAGAAAACACTCAATTCTTTCATCCTTCTCCCTGCCTGGCACTAGGATGTGCTCCATGGAGGGCAGCAGCCTTCTTGTGACCATGAAGCAGCCAAATTGAGCATGAAGTTCTATGGTTGCAAGCTTGATAGAGAGTTTGGGTTGTTAGTGGTATTTCTGAGTGATCGTGTCAGCTCTGGGCTTATTGTAAGAGATAATCCTCTGTCTGTTTAAGCTCTTTTAACCAATCTAAGAAATGTGTGTATTTTGTTGCTGATTATTATCATCCAGTACAGGAAATGTACCTGGCACAGAGTTGATGCTCTTTAAAACTGCATGGATGACCTTCACATTTCCATAAAGCCTATTTATGCCTTCTGCAGTTGGTTCTGAGACTCACCTGTACCCTTGTGCTGACCCACCCATTTTCCTTAAAACAGGTTGACTGGGTTCCTTTTCTTACAGCCCAACAATTAAAACCAAGATGGGGTGACAGAGACCTAGACAGGACTGCTACTTGAGGGGTGACAGGGAGTGGGCCTTGGGGGAGGTTGAGATGACAAAATGGCCTCTACACCGCCTTCCTGCCACCGGCCCAGTAGACCAAGACCACACCCACCCCAGGCCCTTTGCACACCCTCTACCCAATGCCTGGGAGTCCACCTAGTGAGCTCCCTCACCTCCTGCAGAGATCTGCACATCAGCACCTACTCTGAGAAGCCCGCCCTCAACACCCTGGCAAAAATACCCCGCTCCTAGGGCCAGGGATTTAGCTCAAGTATTTAGCTCAGTGGCACTGTGCCTGCCTCACAAGCGCAGGGTCCTGAGTTCAATCCCTGGTATCAAAAAACAAAACAAGGGCCGGGGATTTAGCTCAGTGGTTCTGCCGCCTGCCTCGCAAGCACAAGGACCCGAGTTCGATCCCCGGTACCAAAAAAACCCAAAAAAACAAAAAACCCACCCCACCAAGTTCTATCTCATCTTTTTTTTTTTTTTTTCAGTACTGGGGATCAAACTTGGGACCTTCTGTTTCTGAGGCAAGCAGTGGAACCACTGAGCTAAAACCCCAGCCCATCTACCTCATCTTTACTTTTGGAAATGCTCTTGCTGATTTTTCCATTGGCAAGATTATTGCTCACTTCCCACCTCTAAACACTAAGCCCCCAGCAGGCAGGAACTGTGGTCTATTTGTCCACCGCCTGGCCTGTGGTGGGGGGTATATAAAAATACCTGCACACTGAAAGAATAAGTAAAGGAGGCACAGGGAGAAACTTATTGCATTCAGCTTTGTTGTAATTTTTTTTTTCTTTTGGAGACAGGGTCTCGCTGTTAGTTTAACTGCCCTTGAACTATGTAGTTCAGGCTGGCCTCAAACTCTGGGCAATCCTCTTGCCTCAGTGTTCCAAGTACTAGAATGATAGGTGTGCACCAACACACCCGGCTTGTCGTAATCTTGCACTGTACTGTAGGGACTGAATTTAACTAAGATTTAGGAAACCAATGTAATAAAATATATAATCCAACCGCAGTGCCGCTGAGCTAAATCCCTGGCCCCTCAGTATTGTTTTTTTGTGTGTGGTTTAACTAATTTAATTCTTACAACAACCTGATACCGCAAAGGGCGTTACTTCCATATTAGAAAGAAGGAGGGCCGGGGATTTAGCTCAGTGGCTACGGCGCCTGCCTTGCAAGCACAAGGTCCCGAGTTCGGTCACCGGTACCAAAAAAAAAAAAGAAAGAAGGAGGCAGAGGTTCACGGAAGTTGGGTCCCTCTCACTTCCCCAAGGTCCCAAAGCCATGAAAGGGGCAGAGCCAGGAGCTGAGCCCCAGCAGTGTGGTCCCAAGTCTGTAGCTACCGGGCCCTGGAAACATCACAGGCCCCTACTCGTGGAAGGCAGCCCCGCCAGAGCCCTCCGTGACCTCCGCCCTGGGCTGACTGCTGTGACCTCAGCGCCTCGGACCCCGGGGCTCCCCCTCTCCCCCCTCTCCCCCTGCGCCCGGCCCGAGTCTGTGCTGACCCTGCCTTGAGCTGTGTGAGGGCCTCCTCCACACGGGGCTGGTGGTAGCGCACCATGTAGCTGTGCATGTCGGGGTAGTTGCTGCGGATGTTCTTCTCCGTGGACCCGTTGGGCACCGTCCCAAACTTCAGGGGTGGGTATTGCTCCTGGGGCCGCTGGAACTGGGGCAGAAGGCAGAGTTATTAAGGTGTCTCCCCCAGGAAGATCCCCAACCACGACGCCCCGTTCTGGGGGGTACCTGACATCTGGCAGACACCCCGGGCTCACGGGTGTTTCCCAGATTCGATTGCTACTGCTGCGGTAGGGAACACGTTTCTACTCCTACCCAGCATGCACGGCTGCGGACAGGTTATCACAGGGGAAGCTAGGAGCTCTGCTGTGCCAGGCGTTAGCCCTCAGCTTGCTGGATTGAAGCAGGTGAGGAGGGCAGCTGTTTACCAATCTATTCAGAAATAGTTGACTATTTTAGCAACAGCTGTAGCCAGATGGGTGTGTGCTGGGCCAGCATCAGGTGTGTTTATGACTAAAAGTTTCATAAAATCATGGTCCTCCATCCTAGGTAGGATACAGTCAACACAATCTATTTCTATACTGTTCTGTTCCATTCTGTTGGGAAAATGCTTATTGCAATCCACTGCGTTGATTTCTCAACCCTGTCACAGGTCATGACTCTGGTGAACCACCCCTGTCTCAGAGCGTGCCCTGTTGGTCCTTGAATACATTGTGAGCCAATGAGGTGAGTGCAGAAATCAAGAGATGTAGCATCTGGACCAGTGTGACAGGATAGTTTTACATCTATTGAATCCAATAAATAAAAATTGGGGGTTGACTTTTGTATGTCTTGGTTTTAAGTTTTTTGTTTTATTTATTTATTTATTTTTTGTACTGGGGATCGAACTCAGGACCTTGTGCTTATGAGGCAGGTGGTGGTACCACTGAGCTAAATCCTGGCCCTTGGTTTTAAGTTTTATTTTACTTTTCTAGTAATTCATTGCAGTTGTATTTACTAAAGCACTAGTCTTCGATGAATTAGAAGTTTCAGAAACGAATACTTTGCGCCAGGGATGGTAGTGCATACCTGTAGTTCCTTCAGTCTAGGAGGCTGAGGCAGAAGTTTGAGCCCAGCCTGTGAAACTTAGTAACTTAACGAAACCCAGCCCCAAAATTTATTATTATTATTTTTTTGAGTCAGGGTGGTCTCACTCCATAATTCAGTCTGGCCTTGAACTCGCTAAGTAGCCCAGGCTGGCCTCGAATTCTTGGGAATCCTGCCTCAGCCTCCCAAGTGCTGGGATTACAGGCATGTGCCACCTTGTCCAGCCCAAAATTTAAAAAATTTTTTTTTTGGTACCGGAGATCGAACTTGGGTCCTTGCACTTGCGCAGCAGGTGGTGAAACCACTGAGCTAAATCCCCAGCCTAATTTAAAATTTTTAAACAGCGTTGGAAGATACAGCTTAGCGCAAAGGCCCTGGGTTCAAACCTCAGTACCAATAAACAATCCCCTAACCTTACTGTTTGAGAGCCACACTAGTCTAGACTATACTATTTGGTGATATTGCCCTTAGAACACTGGGGACACCTCTTTCTCCAGGAACATTTTAAAGGTTCATCGTGAAACACGGCCTCCTTCCAGAACATTCCATTCTGGAATTCTTGGGAAGGACCCCCAGGAATCGCCCTCTGGGCAGCCACAGCCACCACCATCCCCCTCCACTCACCTTGCGGTCACTGAGCCCAGACACGGTGTCCACATACTCCTCCTGGATCATGAAGGCGGCCAGGTTAGCTGTGTAGCTGGCGAGGAAGATGACGGCGAAGAAGGCCCACACCAGCACCATGATTTTGCTGGTGGTTCCCCGGGGGTTCTCCACAGGCACCGAGTTATTGAACACCAGGGCCCAGAGCAGCCAGATGGATTTCCCAATGGTGAATGTTGAGCCACCAGGGCCTGCAGGGGGCCAGGATGGGGACATGAACCCCAAATCCCTTCTGCTTCACGAAAGCAGAAAGAACTACAGCTCCCAATGGCCCTTGGGGCCTTGGGTGCCCCCAGAGGCTGTGGCTCTGCCTCAAGGGCTGCTGGGAAATGTAGTTCCATGTGCAGTCAGGGTGCTGCGCAGCAGGGTGAATGAGGAAAGGGACTCACGCTTGCCCGTGGCCAGGCTGCGGTTGTAACCCACGGGACTGAGGTACTCGAAGATGAAAACGGTGACGGCGACCACGGTGAGGCACATGACAAACATCATTACCCACACAGCCGGGCTGTAGGGCTCTAGAGACAAGGGAAGTAGTGTCATGGCTCAGCCCAGCAAAGGGCTAGGGGGCACAAAGACATGCAGAGGAAGTCCAGCCAGATCTGAGGCCATCCTGGTTTCCAGTCTCAGGGCAGCCCTGCGGCCCACACAGAAGCCTGGGAGGCCGTTGCTTTCAGAGCCATCGCACCCATTTCTGTGGTGTGTGTGTGTGTGTGTGTGTGGCACACAGTCTTGCTGTGTAGTCCAGGCTGGACTTGAAATCAATATGTAACCCAGGCTGACCTTGACATTCATGGCAATTCTCCTGCCTCAGCCTCCAGAGTTCTGGGATTACAGCATCACCATGTCCAACCCCATTTCTGTGGTTTTGACACCCAATCTCAGTTGTTTCCTAAATGTTATTGGGGCCTCAGACCGGATCCTGCAGGCCACTTATATTCTGCACTGCCCCAGCTCCTGGGCCCCCGTATTAGGAGCTCCACACCCATCCAGTCCCAGGCCACCCCAATCCTTCTGCTGGCCTCGCTCCCTCCCTCTCTCCCTCCTGCCCCATGGATCAGGGTGGCCGCTCCATTCTCATGGCCAGCATCTCACACATTTCGTCTCCTCCCGGGACCATCTGGCTCCACCCAACCCCCACATGGCTGAGAGGTGACTCTGCCCCCCTCCCTCAGAGCCCTGCCATGGCTCCCAGAACCCCCAAACAAAGTCTTCACCCCTCAGCCTTGTCCTGCCCTCCTCTCTGGCCACATCATTGTCACTGGGCCACTCTGTAACCACCATCGAGCCACGCCCTCATCTCCGCTCCCCTGCCAGAGATCCCACCTGCCCTGTCCCCACCTCTGCCAGGTAACTTGGTGGGGCATAAATAGGAGTCTGTCACTGCCCTGCCCTGTGCTGCCTGGAGGGAAGGGTTCAACTCTGAGCTTCTTCTCAGTGTACGCTGCCGAGACTGCGGCCCCAGAAAAAGGCTGCCAGGGACACAGGTGGGGGTGTGCGTGTGTGTGTAGAAAATAATAATGCACCGGAAGGGATGCCTTTTCTTCCAGCTCCTCCTTTCCCAGGAGCTCTGCTCCAACTTTGCAGAGCAAGTGGGGACTTGTAGAGCATGTGGGCCATTGGGCTGGGCCCCGTGTCCATCTTTCCTGACTCCTCCTGCTCAGCAGGTGCAATTTCTATCCAGCCCACCGCAGAGCCACCAGCCCCTCCGGGGTCAGCTTCCTACCCACACCCTGGGTCTGTCTACTTCCCTCACCCCATCGCCACCTTCCTACTGCACACAACATCCTTTCTCTGACACAGACCTTGCAGTAGCCTCATTACCAGCCTCCTGCTCCCACAGGGCTGCCAGTAGCTGAACTGTAACTTTAGGTCCCCATACTGTCTTCTAGAGTTAGACCCCTTGCCACTGCAGCTAAAGCAAAACCCAAACTTCTTCTGGTAGCATTTGAGGTCCTCCAAGATCTGCCCGTTCCCTCTCAGCCTTCGCCTTCTGCCCCTCCGACCCCCGATCCTCTCCATCTCTTCCCCCTGGCTTCCTGTGTCATGGTGACTATCACCAGCGGAATGGCCTGTGTCCCCATTTAAGTTTCCTTTCTGTCTTCCCCACGAGGCTCAGAGCTCCTAGAGGGCAGGGATCTGTCTGTCTGTCTCGCTCATCACTTGTTCTCAGCAAGCAGCCCAGAGCCTGGCACGTAGCAGGTGCTTGGTGCCACGGATGGGTGACTTGAGTACTTATAATGTGCTGGAGCTGTGCTAATCTCTGCTCTTCATCTTACACTCAGACACAGGGGAAGACTTGGCTTTTGTGAAGCCCAAAGTATACACAATTTGGAAGGCTCGCTTTAAAATAAGACTGCAACTATGAATACAAAAGCAGGGATGAGATGTGAACAGCAAGAGAGGGCTCCTGAGTTCGGCCTTCTTCAGGATAAAATTCGTTCTTGTGGGCCAGGGATGTAGCTCAGGGGTGCCGCTCCTGGCTGAGAAGTGCAAGGGCCTGAGTTTGATTCCCGATACCAAAAAAAAAATTCATTCTGGTAGGGGAAATTATTTTTCCCATTTTACAGATTAGGGAACATGAGCTCAGAAATGATATCACTTCACCAGAGTCACACAGGCTCTCACTGTGTAGTTCAGGCTGGCCCTGAACTCTCAGATGCTCCTGCCTCAGCCACCACAGCTGGGATCACAGGCACGCACACCGCGCCCTTCGGAACCCAGGTTTCTGATCCCACATGGTTAGGGACAGTTGCTCCATCCTTGTCGAAGTCTGGCTCCCTGTCCCGGGTCCCCAGCTCACCGAGGAAGGCAGATGGGGACACAGTGCCATTGCTGCGGGCCACCATGACGCTGATGCCTGTCTCCACGAAGGGCACAGAGAAGTCCACGATCTCAGATCGCTCCTCGTTGATGGTGAGGGAGCCGATGGCCATGTCTGCGCGCTGGTAGAACACCTGGGTGGAGGTGAGGAGGGGACAGGGAACCTGGTTCAGGACCCACAGCGGGCAAGGGCTGTCCCCGCCCCTTCTCCAGTCCCATTATCATCATCTGGGTCTGTCCTGATTCCTGACCCCACCCTTCGCGCCCCCCCAGGCTCACTTTGCTCGAGGCCCCACCCGGGCCCCGCCCTCTTGATGCCAAGGGCCCTCCTGCTGGCCACGCCCCCACGTTCTCGGCTCCGCCCCCGGAGATCTGGCACACGCCCTCCGCTCTCCTGCCGCCTCACCTCCCCAATCATGCCGTTCCAAACGCCGTCGATCTTCTTCCCGTGTTTGCCATTGGTGACCAGGTAGAGGTCGTAGCTGAAGCCGATGGTGTGCGCCAGTCTCTTCAGAATGTCAATGCAGAAGCCCTTGCAGCACCGCTTTTCCGGGCGGGGGGCGTCCGGTGGAGGGCTGCGGGAAGCGACCATGCTTGGGGGAGCTTGGGGACCCCTCCTTTAGGCTTCTCCGTTACATGAGGGCATGGAGGAAGGGACAGCGGAGGCTGAAACTATGTTTAGCGCTTCCCGGGGAAACTGAGGCACCCCTAGGTCACCAAATGGAGGGCTCTGTGGGGTGGGCCCAAGAATGCGGGCTTCACAGGAGGAGAGTTTTGAAGCTGCCACTCCTGGATCCCGGGCTGTCACCTGTGCGTGCGGTTGAGCTGGCTCCGGCAGGGGACGGAGTCTCGGATGCAGGTGCCGCTGATGGGGTCAGCAGGCTCCACGATGACAAAGGGTCTCTCTTCCAGCGTGGCCACCGTGAGATGCTGCGTGTCGTCCACCGGCTGCAGGAAGCGGCCATAGCGGGACCACAGCGGGTACTTGAGGCGGAGAGTCTGCTGCTCCCAGCTGCCCACCTTGGACCGAGAAGGACGGTCAGCCTTCCTGAGGGGACTTTCTGGGTAATGGAAAGGGCACCTGGGTTGGGCAAACCTTTCCACTGCCTAGAAAGTTCCGGCCTCCCTGCTTCTCCTCCTTAGACCTAAGAGTCAGGGCCTTGTCTCCCTCCCGGAACCAGCAGCTACTTCCTCCTCCAGATGCAGGAGCCTGGCCCTTCAGTTTGGTCCTCCCATCAGGACCCAAGGGTCTAGGCTCAGCCTCCTCCCTCAGACCTGGGGGTCTGGGCCCAGCCTTCTCCCTCAGACCTGGGGGTCTATCGCTGCTCCCCCACAGTCCAAGACCTTGAGCCCTCCTCTGCCAGGACCCGGAGTCCAGCCCTCTCCCCTGCCTGAGGTCTGGGCTGTGACTCACCACCTCCCAAGTCCTGTCTCTGGTGAGGGAAATGACCACCAGGGAGGGGTTCACCAGGAAGCCTTCCTCATTGAAGGAGTAGTCCCGGTTATCCCAGGTGATGTTCATGAAGTACCTGCCCAGAGACAGCAGAGGCTGTGAGGGAACCTGGGTTGGGCAAACGCCCTTTCCATTGCCTGGACCCTGCTGGTGAATGAAATCTGTGCTCCTTCACTTCCAAGATCTCAGAAACATCCGTTGGCCTCAGGACACACTCCCATGCCCTGAGCTTGGCGCGAAGCACCAAGAGTCTCTGCACGCTTTGGCTCCTCCTGTCTCTCAAGCCCCATCTCTAATTGTTTCCCATCCAAAAACTTTTTGAAAAAATTTTTTAGGAGGGCTGGGGATTTAGCTCAGTGGTGCTGCTGCCTGCCTCACAAGTGCAAGGTCCTGATTTCGATCCCCAGTACCAAAAAAATATATATATTTTTTAGGGCCAGGGATTTAGCTCAGTGGCGTTGTGCCTGCCTTGCAAGTGCCAGGTCCTCAGCTTAATCCCCAGTACCGGAAAAAAAAAAAGAAAAAAATTTTTAAAATTTGAGGCAGGGTCTCACTAAGTCACTCAGTTGCCCAGGCTGTGCTCAAACTTTGCTCCTCCTGCCTCAACCTCCCAGAGTGCGAGAACACAGCCATGCACCACCACACCTGGCTTTGCTTGTTTGTTCATTTGTTTGAGACTGGGTCTCGCTATGTAGCCTTGGCTGGCCTCAGCCTCCCGAGTGCTGGGATCATAGGTGTGCGCCACCACGCTCAGCTCTGAAAACCCTTTTTGATGGAATCAACACGGAAGGCAGAGTCCCCTGAACATGTCAAGTAACTTCCTACCTCTCGGAGTTTACGGGTGCTGTTCCCTGTGATTGATTCTACCGAGACCAACTCTGTCATGTCGAAAAGACTCAGCTCCAATGTCCCTTCTGCTAGAAGAGGCCCCCGGTGGGGTTCTGGCTGCCCTGATATCTTCGCTGTCACACCCCGTCACTGGGCTGAACTTCCAGCTCCATCTCCCCCCTTCTGTCCCCCAGCCCCGTCCCCTCCTGCCTTCCTCCCAGCCCTCCTGGACCTCACCCCTGCCTCCTGCCTGGCCTCCAGCCTCCATCTCGCCCACAGTCTGAATCCCTCCCGCTCATCGTGGCCCAGGGCTCCCTAGGGCCCTGGAACAGAGTCTGAGCTCCCCAACCTGGTGCTGGAGGCAACGGCTTGGCTGCATGCAGCTCCCTAACCTCACCACCACCACCCCTAATTCTGCTGCCCTGGCCTGTTCTGAACTACCGTGGCCCCATCAGTCTGCCCAGCTGTCACGCTGGATCTTCACCCACACTGTTCCCCTGCCTGCCTGGAAGGCTTGCCATCTCCCATGAACTCCCTGACCTATCTGTTTCAGGCTCCCAAACAGTTCCACTCCCGGGGCCTTTACACCTGATGGTCCCTTTCCCTTCACTTGGATCTTCCGATGCTTGGTTCTTTTTCCATTATTTTGCTTTTTTGAGACTTACTGTATATCCTGTGATGGCCTTGAACTCACTAGGTAGCCAAGGCTGGCCTCAAGCTCATGACAATCCTCCTGGCTCAGCCTCTCTCCTACTGAGGTCACAGGTGTGCACCGCCACCATGCCCAGCACATCCATTTTTTAACCTCTATCTCTCACTTAGAATGGCCTTTTCTGGCCCCACTTAGCCCCCCCACCCCCCGCTCTTCCAGTCACATCCTCTTGTTTTATTTTTATCTCAGAAGTTCCCACCTGCTGATATTTTCTTTCTCGTCTTGTTTGTTCACTGCTCCTCTCCCCATTAGACTGTTAGCTCTATGAGAGCAGGGAGTGTGTTTCACGCTAGTCCTTTGGGCCTATAGCAGTGCTTGGCACACAGTACATTCTCACTAAGTAAAAGGCATTTTGATGAATGGCTGGCTGGCTGGGTGAGCATCCTCAGGTCTCAGGCAAGGGATTCCCTCTTCCTGGAAACCTCCCTGACCCCCTAAGCTGAGCTCTGACCCATGTGTCTTGCTTTAGAAGGCAGACTGGGACCAATCAGCATCCTGTCTTGGGATGACATTTTACTCTGAGAATGGAGGGTTGTGCGGTAGCCAGGAAAGGCTGAAGTTCTGAGGGAACAGAGGTTCTAGATGAAGACTTGAACAGCCCCTGGTGAGGCAGGTCTGAGAGGAAGAGAGAGAGACAGGAGGGAGAGTAAGAAAGACAGATCAGAAACAGATGAAAGTGGCTGGGTCTAGGCTTGACCTTGATTCTTGATCTCTGTTTCTGTGCGTGTTTATCTTTCCAATAAGCCCCCTTTTCCCTGAGGAAACTGAGATGAGATTCGGCTCCTTGCAGCCAGAAGCACCCTGGCTTAGACAGAATGCTCCCCTGTGCTCCCGCAAGGCCGGTGCCACCTCCATTACTGCAAGCGTCACACTGCACTGTCATCATCCCCATCCCTGGCTGCCACCTCTCCAGGACCCTGTGTTCTCTGAAGAAACCCATGGTCTTACTCATCTCTCTGTTCCCAGCACCCAGCATGAGCCCTAGTTCCTGGCAGGTGTTCTGGGATCTAGATCCCCAAAACAGTTCTTGATTCTCCTCTCCTAGGTCTTCTTCCCCACCCATCACCTCCCAAAGTCAACTCATTTCAGGATTAATAGCCTCTCCTCCCACTGTTCTATCACCAAACTCTTCAGTTTCCCCACACTCACAGCTTTCCTATGGTGGAGATGCTGTTTTCCACCAAAAAATCATGTGTAAAAACAAACAAACAAATTATGTGTAAACTGGGCACACGGCCATAGAGCTAAGGTCCATGCTTCCTAGCCTTCTTGCAGCTACCTCAGGCCATGGGCAGGGGTAGCATTCAAATTCTCTAACAATCAGTACAATACTGGCACCAGCCAATCAGAATGGAGGTTGCTGAAAACAACCACTGTGCAGTCCTGACCATGTGACCGCATTCTCACCAATAGGATGCGAGACCTGACCCTTACAGGTCACTTAAAAGGAAATTGCTTGCTCCTCACTTCCTCTTCCTCCCTTCTCATGAGCTAGTTCAGTGATTCTCAGAACCCAATTTAGAATATGGGGAGATGCCAGAGCAACAAGTAGGTGGTCTCGGGGTCCTGGTGATTGGACCACTGATCTCTGGGTTGTCATGTGACAGAGGAACCCAATTCTACTTCTTCAAGCCACTGGATCATTGGGCCTTTTTGTCACTGAAGCTAAGTTTACAATACAACTAGGATCCTATCTAAATTATAAGATGTAGCCAGTCATTTTGCTGCATGCCTATAATCCCCCATTCAGGAGGCTGACACAGGAGGATCACTGTGAGTTTGAGGCCAGCCTGGGTAACATAGTAAGTTCAAGGCCAGCCTGAGCTACATAGCGAGACCCTATGTCAAAAAAATAATAATATATACATATATATAGCTATGATAAACCAATTAAACCATGATAAACCATCTATTATAAGATACATATTGATTTCAAAGACTTTAAAATGAAATATTATGCATCTGACATGAAATACAGTAATACACTCAACAGTATATCAGGTGCTTTCCAAATTACTTGATTTAATCCCAGAAAAGAACCCAGTTAAAAGGGATGGTTGAGGGAAAAAAGGGCTGGTTAAAAAAAAAAAAAGGGCCGGGGATTTAGCTCAGTGGTTCTGCCGCCTGCCTCGCGAGCACAAGGACCCAAGTTCGATCCCTGGTACCAAAAAAACAACAACAAAGATTGGTTAAGAAATATGGTGATTGTTTAAATTTTTAAAAAGTGGGTTTTTTTGGTACCGGGGATTGAACTCGGGTCCTCGTGCTTGCGAGGCAGGCGGCAGAACCACTGAGCGAAATCCCCGGGCCCTAAAAAATTTTTATTACATTGAAACCATATTGCCATTAATTCCTTCAGAATTCTCCCCCACACTCCACTTCAAACACACTTATTCCAACATTCTCGGCACTTTCTGAAGCAGTTCTGGAAGTGTGTTTTTACAAGGTGCAATAAAAAAATACAGTGAATGGGGCTGGGGATTTAGCTCAGTGGTTCCACTGCCTGCCTGGAACGCACAAAGTCCCGAGTTCGATCCCCAGTACCAAAAACAAAAAAACAAAAAACCCCCACAGTGAATGTTACTGCTAAGTGACAAGGGAATGGAAGGCTTGTAAGAACATAACAATGTGTCTTCATTCACCAGATCTGACACCCTGTGACTTCTGACTCTTCCTCAAAGTCAAAATAACCACAAAGGTAAACATCTTAAAGCAGTTCAGGACATAGAGGCAGCCACAACTGTGCAACCAACAACATTTATGAAGAAGACTTCCAGAACTGCTTCAGAAAGCAGCAAGAATGATGGGATAAGTGTGTTCAAAGGAGAGGGGGATATTTTGAGGGGAGCTAATGGCAACGTGTCTTTTACAGTATTAATTTTTTTCCGTTTTGTTTTTCGAGGCAATCCTCCTGCCTCTGCTTCAGCCTCAGTTCTCCTGCCTCAGTGCTGGGATCACAGATGTGCACCACCATGCACGGCTAAAGTTTTAAAAAATTAAACATTCAACATATTTTTCCCATCACCCTTAGTACACTCATTTTACAGAAAAGGATGCTGGGGTTCAGACAGGGGTGGGACTTAGGGTATGGGTGCGGGTTAGGTTAGGGTTTGGACTCCGGCCTCCCCAGCCCCCTTCCCCCAGCCCCCGCTCACCGATGCAGACTCTCCCCGCGGTGGGTGCGGTTCTGGGCGCGGCAGTCGTGGCCCAGCTCGGGCAGGAAGCCGTAGTCCCGCAGCAGGGCCTGGGCACCTCTGGCCACCACAGCCACCCCAGCTGCCACCCGCCGGGCCAAGTCGTCCCGCCAGCCCGCCGAGCGCACTGCAAACAGCCCTGCGGGCAGTGGGGCGCCTCCTGGCAGAAGAAGGGGCTCCCCGGGGGCCCCTGAGCCCCCGCCTCCGGCCAGCTGGGGTCCCACCATGAACCACACGTAGCCGGCCCCGGTGAGGCCTGCCTCCTCGGCGGCCCGGAACACAGGCTCAGCCTCCTCGCGCGCGCAGAAGAGCAGACGGATCTGCGCGCTGACGCTGCGGAGCTGCGCGCTCAGCACCGCCTCGCCTGCGCCAGGGTCCAGCGTCAGCGCCCCGCGGTGCTCCCAGCCCACCAGGCTGCCGTCGGTCAGCACCTCGATGTAGGACAGGAAGGCGCGGTGGCCGGGGGCACGCGTAGTCACCGCCACGAAGGACGTCCAGTCGTACTCCTCCAGCACCTCGAAGATGACCTGAAGCTGCTGCTCCGTGGAGGAGCCCAGCTGCAGGAAAGTGGAGCCCTTCTCCTGCGGGGACAAGGGGGCCGTCAGCCTCCCGATGGGGGACCTCATACCCCAACAGCGGACTCTGCCGACCGCAGTTCCCAGCGGCAATGGCTGGTCCCGGATCTCAGCAAGGCAGAATGACTAGCTGTTTGCCAAACCCGTCTCCTTTCCTCCTGAGCGCAGGCTAACTGCCTTAGGTTTAGTCACATGACTGAGTTCTCTGGGGCCCACTTCTAAGATCTCTCCCACATGAAACCAGATGTGGTAGTGCAGGCCTGTAATCTCAGCACTGGGGAGGCTGAGTCACAAGGATCTCTGCAAGTTCAAGGCCAGCCTAAGCTACATTAGCGAGACCTTGTCGAAAGAAAGAAAGAGAAAAAGGTAAAATAAAATGAACAGTTTTTGATAAAATGAAATTTTAAAAGAATTATAAATACAAAGACTCTCCCACATGAACCTTACACTCCTTCTGGTCTAAGGACAGACTCAAAGTCCACAGAAGAGGACTCTGAAATCTTACAGGATTCCTGAGCCACAGGAGGGAGCCTGAGTCTCTGAGTCACCATGTGGAAGAGAGCCAGCTCCAATCAAGACCACCTGTTTGGATTTTATATGAATGAGAAACAAATGGGGCTGGGGATTTAGCTCAGTGTTTCCACCGCCAAGGACCCAAGCACAAGGACCTAAGTCCTTGAAAGCACAAGGACCCAAATTCAATCCCCGGTACCAAAAAAATAAAAAAATAAAAAATAAAGTGACTGAATGAATGAGAAACAACCTACAGTACTGTGTTGAGTTGCAGTGATTCAAGGGTTTTTGCGCTGCAGTTAACATCACTGTCATTAATACACCCTTTAATACAGCCACTGAGGAAACTACAACTCCCAGCATGCACTGAGAGGGAATGTTTCTCTGTGGGACAAGGGAGACTACACTCCCAGCATGCAGCGTGGGTACCCTATTTCTAAGAGGAGTGGACTTTTCCCTGATTTTTGTCATATTTCCCCATCCCCTCCTCCTCTGTCTCCTTCACCGGTCCTTCTTTGTCCAGGATACTAAATTCTAAGTGTAGTAGCATCTGTCTTTTTCCTTCTTTGTGCCCTGGTTGGATCATCCAGGCCCACAGCCTTGAATACTGTCTCCCCATACACTGTCCAATACGGTAGCCATCTGTATCTATTTTGCCTGCCTCAGCCCTGCTCCCTGTCTTCCTTCTATCCCTTTTCAGACCCCTTTTCTTTCCTTCACTCCCACAAACACTCAGGCCTTTTCCAGATCTTCTCAGTTCTATGTTTGAACATAAGCTGTTTGTCTACTTCACCTCTCACCACTGTCATGACCCTCATTGCCACCACTTTCTCTCTTGCCTAGACTCCTACAGCTTTCCCACCCATCTCTGCTTCCATTCTTGCATCTTCCAGTCTATTCTCCAAACAGCAGCCTCAGTGATCATTTCAAAATATTAATGGATCACATCCCTTCTCAGTTGAGAACCTTCCAATGGCTCTTCTTTAGAATCAAAGCCAAAGTCTCTCTGTCACCCAGAAGGCCCTGCATGAACTGGGCTCAGCCCTGATCTACTGCCATTCCCAACACTCAGTTGGCTCCAGCTACACCTCCCCTTGTTCTTCCTCAAACACAACAAGCTCTTCCTGGCTTTAGGACCTTTGCCCTTAGCTGTCACCCCTCCCAAGGACACCTTCACCAGCTCCTCCATGCCTGGCTTACCCCTCCCATTCCTCTGGTCCAGTCAAGCCTCTCCTGACCACCATCATTTGAATCCCTTGCCTCAGTTATTACAGCATCATGAGTTTCCTCTCTGTGGCTTGTCTTGTCTCTTTCCTTTGTTAGAATTAAAGCTCCATGAGACAGGGACTTGTTTCCTCACCTCTCAGAACCTACAGTGGCCCTGGCACAAAATCAGCCCTCAACTAGCCTTCCTGTGATCCAGTGCAAACAGCAAGTGGACTTTGTCAAACTAGGCATGTGCCTTTGGTTGTACATGTAGAGGACAAAATTCTCCCGGCATGCAGTGGGAAAGTGGGCACCTCACCTTTCAGCAGGTGGAAGTGTGTGGAGGGGACCATGTGCCCTGCAGTCAATGGCATGCAGATGGAGCTGTGAGGACCACATTCTCTCATCCAGGGATTCCAAAGGGACTACACTTCCCTGAAGACGATGGAGTGTATCCTAAGTGGTCCACAGTGTCCAGCAGAGAGTGAAATGGAGTGGGCCACACTTAGCTACAGTTGGCAGCATGAAGGACCACACCTCTGGTTATTTTACAGAGGTGCCAGTCAGGAAACAATATGTCCACCTCCTAGGTCTACAGCTCTGCCTACAAATCTCTGGACAGCGTCATGGGAAAGCTGGGCCAGAGGTCCTTCCCAGAAGGCTTTGAACAGGAGAACTACGAATCCCAGCATGCAATAATGATCCAGTCACAAAGGTATCCACCCTCACAGCAAGAAATTGGCCCATTTGGGTTCCACCCATTCAGGTGGCTCCATCATCCAGCGAATCACACCTCATGCTTCCACTGGCCCCACCCCTAATAGATCCCACCGCTTCTGAAGCCCTGCCTCTTGGCCTTTCCCTTCTCTGTCCCCAGACCAGGCTTGCGCTACTCTACTAAAGCTAGCCTTTCCAGTGCCTTTGGAAAACGACCGCTCTGCAGGCCATGCCAGCTCCAGGCTTGCACCCCTCTGCCCTGCAGGCTCCTGGCTCTGATCGTTTATTGACTGGGCCTTCCTCGACGTAGGCCTTCACCTTCCCACTTCCCACACCCACAGCTGGGCAGACCCCCATGCCAAGCCCTACTCCCAGACCCACCCTTCCATCACAGTTCGAGGGCCCCCCCCCCGCCCCTAACTGCTGGCTCCGCCCCTTCCTTGGCTGGTCTCCTCTTAAATCGCTCTTCTTGCAGGCCTGGTTCTCCCCTTTCTCATCCACCTCTCATAGACGACGCCTCTCCTTCTCAGACTCCTCCTTTTGCTAGATGGCTCTGCCTTCCTCCATAGACTTGTAGACTGCTCAGCTGGCCGGGCCCTCTCCAGACCCTGTCCTTCAATACCTGGTTCCTGTTCCTGCCTTCCTGGACCCACCTCCCCTCTAGACTTCGCCCCTTTCTGAGCCCCATTCCTGTCTGACTCCTTGCCAATCCCAGATCCCACTCTGCTGCCATCCCTCACCTGCAGTGATGGGGCCTACGTCCTTCCCATGCTCTGGTCCTTGCCAGCCACCCTCCGACCCTTCTTCTAGGTGGCTCCCTAGTCAAGCCAGCCTCGCCTCTCACCTAGGCCCTACCTGGGTTCCAGAAGCCCCGGGCCCCGCCCTCCACGACCACGCCCACAGACCCACCCCCTCCTGGAGCCACGCCTCTCCAGTGTGCGCACCTTGGGCGTGAGCACGAGCGCAGCTCCGCCGTGCACGGCCACGATGGGGAGCGAGGTCTGGGCCGAGAGGAAGTCGAGGATGGGCGCGACGGCGGGCGCGCGTGAGTCATCCTCGAAGACGACGCCGTGCACGCGCAGCCCCGACAGCAGGTCGCAGAGCTGCAGCACGAGGCTGCGTGGGTCCGAGCCGTTGAGCACCAGCGCCACCGGCCGCACGTCCAGGCCCGGACTGCGCACGGCCGCCGCCACCGCCGGGCCCAGGCGCGCCGCCTCAGCCGCGTACGCGGGCCCCGAGAACACGAGCGCCACGTTGAGCGGCCGCGCCCCGCCCGCGCCCCCGCCCGGCCCGGGGCCCCCGCCCAGCCCCGGTGCCTCCTCCGGGAAGGGGCTGGCGCAGGCCAACGCGAGCAGCAGCAGCATCCTAGCGGGGCCCCGAGGGCCGCGGGGCCACCCGGCGCGGCGCATCACCTGCGGGCCCCGCCGGGCGGCCCCTGCGAGGGAGGCGGACAGGGGGAACCGGAAGGAGAGGTGCACAGGAGTGGGACGGAAGGAGAGACAGAGACAGCGAGAGATGGAGGGACAGAGACGAGAGATGGAGAGAGAGCAGAGGAGAGATCCAGATAGGGAGAAAGAGGGATGAGAGGCAGAGACAGATGGAGAGAGAGACAAGCAGGGGGAGCGAGATGGAGGGAGACAGGAGAGACACAGGTAGAAGGACAGAGACCGAGGGAGAGGGGGCGGCAGGAATAGAGGGGACAGCGAGACGATGGGACAGAATAGGAGCAGGGGGAGAGGAAGGAAGGGTTAGGGAGAGGTGGAAGGGAAAACAGACGGGGAGGACAGGCTCAAATTGACAGAGGCAGGAGAAGGCAGAGCCGGGGGAGTGACAGAAATAGGGAGTGAGCGAGACCCGGGGAGAGGCCGGAGATAGACCCCAGGGCCACCAAGAGACAGGCACACACGGCGATGGGGACAGAGCGGATAGAGCAGAGCAAATGCACAGGAAGACAGAAATAGCGAGCAAGGCAGAGCCCGAGACCCCGCCAGGGAGGTGCCCAGCACAGACATGAAAGGCCAGCCAGGAAGGCGAATGGCAGGAGGGAGCAGAAATAAAAGGAAGAAAAAGTGAGGAAAAAAATAAGAGAGGGAAAAGGGGTCAGGTGTGTGGGGAGAGAGAATGAAGGGAAATCAGCTAGGTGTCCTACAGAGAGAAAATGCCCCCCAGGCCTTGCCCCTCACCCCATCACAGTCCCCAGTTCCCCCTCTATTCCTGTCTCTATTCCCCCATTCTCAGAATGGGAGAGTCATGGGCCAGGCTGGGACTCAGGGTTGGGGGCACAGCTGTGCAGAGCTGGGGAGGGGGGTACCTGGCATCCAGCCCAGAGCAATTTAGTAAATTAGAGGAAATACAGCTTTGCCTTCACTGCCCCCTGTTGAATACTGGCTGCCTGGGGTGCCTGGGCTGGGAGCCCAGATGCCTGGGTCCTGGGTCTGAGGGAGGAGGGCATAGGGGGCCTGGATCCTGGCTCCCAGAGAGGCTGGGGCCTACACTGGGGGCACCCTGAAGGGCTGAGGGTCCAGACAGGGGAAGGTTCTCTCTTGGCTGTCAATCAGCCTCCTGTCTGGTTGCTATGGTAGCACAGGCTCGGCCACCCCTCATACAGCCAGGGTGGTGGAAAGCCCCACTCCCTGGCCCCTGCCTGCAGGCCTTGGCCCCCCTTCTTCCCACCGCCCCTGTCTTCCCTGGGAAGGGAGCAGGGGCTGGGGCAGGCCCTTCCCTCCCAAATCCTGGCTCCTCCCTGCCCCTCCTCTCTACTGCCCTTCCCCAAGCAGCTGGCTCAATCAGTGCTCAGAATAGCCCCCCCTTCCACCCCAAAATAACCCACAGCTGTGGCCTGGCCCCCGCGGGGTTAACAGTGATGCTCCCCTCCCTTCCCAGTGGCTGCTCACCTCTCATTCCCTCCTCTGCCCCTCTCAGGTCCACCCCCTTGCCTGGCCTCTGCTTTTGGGGACCCCAGGGTTTTGCTCTCTGCTGAGCCCCAGGAGGGCAGCCCCCAGCCCCACCCTAAGAGGCTGGAGGCCAGTCCTTTCCCTGCAGGGGTTCAGGCATGGTCCCCCACCCCTCCGGGACTGAGGAGTAGCATCCCCAGAGCCCACGCCCCCAGGGACGACAGAATCCAGGCCCCCAGCTCCACCTCCTCCTGAGTCTTGTCGGACTCCCAGCCACCCAGGAGCCAAAGAGTGGGACCCCAACCCTGCCAGGCAGGCGCCTGAGCCCCGCCCCTCCTCCCTCAGACACAGAGCTTGGCCCTCCAACTTCTCCCACGGACTCCGGGGCCTGGCCAGCAGCCCCTGCCTCCCCCAGGACTCTAGAGTTCCACTCTGTTCTTCCCCAGGACCCGGGAGCCCTGGCTTCCTCCTGTCCCAGCCCAGCAGCCTGGGTGCCTAGCTCTGTCCTCCAGTGCCCCCCCCCCAGCTCTGGCCTTCCTACTAGCCCCACTGAGATCCTGTACACCGCACAGACTGTCCCCAAACTGAGGAGGAGGAGGAGGAGGAGGAGGGTGCCAGAGATTCCTGGGCTGTCCCTGTTTCTGTTGCTTCCCCCACCCCGGCATCCCAGAAGAGGGGAGCGACCACTTTGAGGATCCATAGCTTCCTCCTTCAGTCATGCTGCAGACAGTGTCTGCCCCCCACCCCGGGTCTCCCCACCCAGGTCCGGGCAGGCGAGAGGCTGGAAGGGCATTCCAGAACCTTGAGGAGGGGGTGGCAGCCCGGGGCAAGGGTGCCGGGGGCCTAGATGCCCTCAAGGTCCTTGGCAGGAGTATTAATAGCAGACTCATAGCGCTGAGAGGGGAGGGGCGAGCCGGAGCAGAGCGGGAGAGGGACGCCGGCTACGGGGAGCCCGATGCAGGAGGGGGTGCAGAGATAGAGGAGTCAGGTATGTGCTGCTGGGGAAAGGAGCAGTGTCAGAGAAAGGGGGCTTGGGTATGTGGTGTAGGGACCCAGAAAAGGGGTTCAGAGAGGGAGAAGGGGGTGAAAGTCCCCGAGGAACACGGGGGACCCTTGCCCGCCCTAAAGCCCCTTCATGCATGAGCTTTCCCTGTCCTAGATTTGGGGGTCCACCCCTCCCATAGCCCCTGCCCCGGCCTTACCTTTTCATGACCCTGTTCTGTGGGGGGGATTCCGGGGGGGCCAGGGCCGGAACCCGGTATCCAGGGACCCGAAGATTCTGCGGAGGGCTCGGGGAGCCAGTGGGGGGGCCAGGCCCTGGGGCGATGGCAGAGGCGGCGGTGCTGGCAGCAGTGGCGGCAGCTGCAGGGACCTCTTGCCTGCCCCTGGCTCTCTCTCCCTCCGCTTCCTTGATCCTGACCTGCCCTGTCTGTCCCCCAAGGTTGCGGCCACCCGGACTAGGCGAGGACGAGGCTACACATGTTGCTCTGGAAGTTGGGCCCCGGACATTGCGGAGGCTGTCGGGGTGTCCTCTTGCGGCCTCGACCCCGTGGGGATCCCCCCTCCACCCACCAGGGGTGCCCCCCTCTGCCGCTTCAGCCCCGGCTCCTCCCCCCTGTCCATGTGCCCCATCCCTCCTCTCCCTGGCTCATTTGCACCCCCCTTTGTGCCCTCGGCAGCCCCCCCCCCCGTGTCTGTGTCTGTCTGTCTGTCTGGGTCACCTCTGAAGCGGTGGCTGGTATGCGTGTTGGTATGAGAAGCAGGAGACTGCCTGCGGGGACCGCTCGCCCCTTCCTCGCTTGGCTACCTCCAGACCCCCCGCGGCCCCCCCACTCTCAAGCCTAGGCAGAAGCACACAGACACACGCGCACACACGCACAACCTCACTTCCCTGGGATTTCCCCTCAACACCCCCAGAGCTTGAGCAGGGAGACACACACTCATACACGCACGCAGGGGGTCCAATGGGGGGCGGGCTGCCACTGCCGTCAGGGGCTGTTTGGCCAGACAGGAGGACACAGGCATCCAGGGACACCCAGACGCCCGGCCGGACGCAGGCAGGAGGCACAGAACCCAGGTACACACGATCCATGCAGGTTTAGGGGCTCAGGGGAGGACTGGGGGGGGCCGCGACATGCAGGCAGGCTGCTCAGGGTGGGTACAGACAGACAGACCCCTCCTCCCTCGGCCGCCGCAGACCTGACACAGACACACCCCCCCCCCAGCCCGCCCCGGACGCCCGGACACGCATCCTCGCATCCTCACCGGGCAGTTGGCAGTCGCACGGGAGACCCCTGGGGGCCGGGCGGACCCGCCCGGGCCGACACCCCCAGCTGGGCGCTGGTGACCGGGAGGCTGCGGGCCGAGGGTGGCGGGTGGCGGCTGCGGCCGCGGCTTGGGCTTGGAGGAGCCGGAGCGGGAGGGACTCGCACACGCACTGCTCTCGCACACACACTCACTCGGGATGCGATTAACATTCAGTCCCCGTCCGTCCCTGCCGGAGACCCACAGCCCCCCCTCTTGGCTTCCCTGGGGACCCCTCCTCCTGCTAGGGTTGGGGGAGGGGCCGCCCCCTACCCCAGCTCCCAGTCTCTGCTTTTCTCCTGGGACTGGGGAGAGAGGGGCTACAAATAAAAGGGGAAAAGGAAGGGGGCAGGGATTCCGAACCGGTGTGGAGATGTTAGCTTCCGACTCAGATTCCTGGGCTAGGGGAGCTGCCCTAAGCCCCTTCCTCACTTAAAGGCTTAGAAACCAGGAGGCCTTTCCTTGACTCCAGCAACCGACTGCCAGGGAAGACCTATCCTTGGCTTTCTATTACCCCAAAAGCCTGGGCTCGAAAACTAGCTATTATGGAGCCAGGAATCCTGGCCCCAGTCCCTCATTCCTCAGACCCAGGGATTCAGGCTCCAACCCTCCTCCCTCAGACGCATGGGTCCAGGCCCAGCCTCCTTGCTCAGGCCCCTGACCTCCTCTGTTACACCCAGGGGCTGAGGCCTAGCCCTCCCTATTCCCTCAGACTCAGGGTTCCAGGCCCCAACCCTTCTTTCTAAGACTCCTGATGTCTCTCAGACCTGGGGGTCCAGAAGTCCCTTCTCTACTGGAACCATGTATCTGGGTCCCTCCTCCAAGCCTGAGTCCCTTTTAAGTGCTCAGACATCCTGTCCTTCCTAGTGCAAACCAGCCTTGGTCTAATGAATATCACCCTCGGGCACAGTCCACACAAGCCTCTGAGGAAACACCTCTGTACCCCTTCTTGTACTAAGGAAAATGGTGTTCAACAGCCACGGTGCTCAGATATCCAGAAGGAAAGCAGCATCTGCTGTATCCGGACCACAGCCTGGCCTCTGAGTCCCCACAAGGCCATTTGCCCATCCCGTCCCTCTGGGTAGAGCAGTCTCCAGCACTTCTATACAGCTGCCTGTGTGGCTGTGGGCTGAAGCGTGGTGCAGGACACCTGGGCCCTTTAAATTGGAGGCTGGGAGTGAGAGAGAGAGAATTTGCAGGTAGGGGGACAATTCTGGAGCTGGGCTAGTACCAGGCCCATGAGCACCTAAGGTAGTTTGAGTCTAAGCGTTGCCCTGGAGCTCACTAGGGAAACTCCTGTTCCCTTCATCCTCAAGGTCTGGGAGGCCTGGCCTGAAGGTGCACATTCCCGAAAGAGAAGACTTGTGGCCTGGATTTTGAGGTGGTAGGAGGGATTGCGCATCTCGATTCCTGGTGTTAAAACCCTTGAGCTATAAAATGGTTGAAGTGGGACTAAGTTCCAAGAAAAGGGGATATGGAGATGAGGGCGCTGGGGCCTGGACACTGGGTCGGAGGGGGGCGATGCTAAGAGCCTCTTTCTTTTCTCTCCTGATTGGAGCTGGAGGCCCCAGGTGAGTGACAGAAGCCGGCAGTCCAGCGTTTGGGTTTCTGTGCAGGACTTTTGGAGTTCAGGAGGCGCCTCCCCAAACCCTGTAAGGGTAGGGTCTTGGCAGCTCTTCTCCACCCTTTACAAATACACGCTGCCTGGGGCAGCAATGCGGGGATTTGGGAGTATCTCACGCCGGCGACCCTCCAAGTTCCTCGGACTCAGCCGAGGAGTGCATTGGGCGCCAGACCTGCAAGGCAGGAGGTGGGCGACAGGGGGAGCCCGAGAACCGAAACCCCTCCCTCGGGGGCGGGGCCTGCAGCCCCGGACTCCTCCCCTCCCCCGCCCTCCTCCCTCTTCCCGGCTCTGGCTCATCCGCCTGCTCGGGCCTCGGTCCCCCTCCCAGAGCCCCCTCCCCGCAGTGCGGCCCACCGGAGGGCCCTCTCCCGCCCTCAGCCCAACCACCCGCCGGAACAGCAGCTCGGGGGCAGCCCCCCGCCAGTCCGCCTCCCCCCGTCTCAGCCCTGCCCGAGCCCTCCTCCCGGCCATGAACCTCTTCCGATTCCTGGGAGACCTCTCCCACCTCCTAGCCATCATCTTGCTGCTGCTCAAAATCTGGAAGTCCCGCTCGTGTGCCGGTGAGAGGGCCGCCCGGGGGAGAAAGGGGCAGAGGGCGGGGGCGTCCCGGGACCGGGGGAGGCTGGGGAGCCCCAGGGAGACTGGTTCCTGCGGCCGCTGCTGGGTGGGAACTCCCTCTCCCTGGCCTGCGGTCACCGCGGGGTCAGCTCGCCTCCTCAGCCTAAGGGTGCACAGAGTCTGATTGGTGGCGCGAGACCCCCAGTTCAGCTTCTTGGAGCCCGGATCTGGGCTGTCCTGGGGGTTCCAGGCTGGGAACAGGGAGCCATGGCAGGCGGGGAGGTGGCTGAGAGTTGGTGACGTGGACGGTGGCAGCCAGGAAGAGAGCAGGAAGGAGGTGACTTGTTCCGGGAGGGCTGAAGTCAGGCAGGGTCCTCTTTAGGCCCCTCCTTGGGTTGAGAGTGTGGGAGGACTCCAAGGGGGGCCGAGGTGGTTCTGAGGCCTAGCCTGGGATGGAGCCTCGGGCTGGAGTAGCTTTAGGGCCCGCTGCCCCCTGGCTGTGGGGCATGGGAAAGGGCCCTGCTTGGGCCAGCCGGGTGGGGAGGCCTTTAGGGACAGTTGTGGTTCAGAGCTGCCGACAGGCTGGTCCCAGGCACTATACTGTGCCGTAGTTTATGGCCCATGAAGCCCACTGCCAGCTTTTTCCTCTTCTCTCTGTGTCTGGACCACAGGGATTTCAGGGAAGAGCCAGGTCCTGTTTGCTGTGGTGTTCACTGCCCGCTACCTGGACCTGTTCACCAACTACATCTCACTCTACAACACATGCATGAAGGTAAAGCTCCAGGCCACCTCCCTGGGCCTCTTGAGAGTGGGTGGGAGACCCCAGCTCTGAGGGAGGAGGCTGGGCCTGGAGCCCTGCGTCAGAGAGGAGAAAGCTGAGGTTTGAGAGCCCTAGGTCTGAGCCTTGGTTTGGGCCTGCCCCTTGAGCTGAGGTATCCCATTGTCATCCCTATCAGGTGGTCTACATAGCTTGTTCCTTCACCACTGTCTGGATGATTTATAGCAAGTTCAAAGCCACGTATGATGGGAACCATGACACGTTCCGAGTGGAGTTCCTTGTTTTTCCCACGGCTGTCCTCGCCTTTCTGGTCAACCATGACTTCACTCCTCTAGAGGTAGGCTGCCCACAGATTCCTGCAGCGGTCAGATGGTGGTGATACAATGGCTACTCATGGCAGGCCCTCTCACATGCTTCCTTCCGCACGGTTTGCTGAGGCTTCCTTACTTTAGGACCTATACATTCAGGGCACAGGCGCTGAGCTGGACACTCCTCTGCACAGCTCATGTACTAGGCCTCACTGATTTCCACAACAATCCTACTTTGCCGATGAGGAAACAGACTGAGGGAGTCTAAATGTCCGAGGTCACTGCCCCAGTAAGTACCAGACTGAATAGGTCCGGAACTGGGACAGGGTGAATCCCAGATCTGAAGCCTGTGAGACTTGGGGCAAGTTGTGGGACCTCTCTGTGCCTTAGTTTCCTAATCTGTAAGATATAGGAACAATCAGTTCTGATATAATAGGGTGTTGTTTTGGTGTTGGAAATGGCATCCAGGGCCCTATGTGTTAGGCCCATGCTGTACACCGAGCTGCCCCTGGCCCGTGAGGGGCTCTAACGAGCACTGATGTTTGTAAAGTCCCTGGCATCAGGTGGGAAGTGCCCTGTCACTGTGTGTTCATGACTGGAGTGTCTGGTAGCATGCCCGACGCTTGTTGTTTGAGATGTCTGCCATCATGATTTTTATTCTGTGGCTCTTTGCTGGGCGCTGTACAAACTCCTAGGAGGAATTTTGGGAGGGCCAGGTCGACATCAGAGATGGTGTGCCAGCTGGGAGGAGTCGTAATTTGGGGCAACCTTGCCTTCCCCACGCCCCCTTCTGCCTGCAGAAAGCCAACCCTGGGTGGCTGGGCAAGCCGTAATCTAGGAGTTTTTAGGCAGGTCTCATTTTAAAATTTTGGCCACAGATTCAGAGCACTGTGTAATCTAGAATGTCCGACAGGGGCGACTTTGGGCCTCCCATCCCCAGAAGTACCAGAGGGACTCTGGCCATGCCGTGGTAGGAGCCCTGGGCTTGGCTCTGGGCCTTGACTTACAAACCAGTCATGGTTGCCACCTCCCACCTGCCCCGTGGGGTTACGAACCCAGTTTGCAGAAGGGACAGTGACAGACACGGGGAGATCCTGGGGTTTGCTCAAGGTGGAGGGGCCTGGGTCAGAAACAGGCCTTGGTTTCCCTCGCTCAGAGGGGAGAGGTCACTTGTGAAGTCTTGTCACCCACGATGTGCCTGCTCTTTTGATTCTGTCAACCTGGGAAGCTGGTGTCCTTATCCTCATTTTATTTTCTCTCTTTTTCCAGTTTTGGGGATTAAACCCAGGGCCTTGTGGATGCTGGGCATGTGCTCTAGTGCTGAACTACATGCTTGGCCCCATCCACCTTCTTAAATTTTATTATGAGGCGGGGTCTCACTAAGTTACCCACGCTGGCCTCAAACTTGTGATCCTCCTGCCTCAGCCTTCCAAGTGCTGGGATTACAGGTGTGTGCCACCATGCTGGGCCTCATCCTCATTTTTCAGAGGATTGAAGCGAGGCTCAAAGGGAGAGTTCACATGATTTGAAGCCAGGTCTGCCTGCTTCTAAAGCTCGTGCTATTAAATGGTGGTTGCTGAAAAAAAAAAAAAATTTTAATTATAGAAGAAAAATACTCTAAAAATTCAGATATTGGGCCGGGGATTTAGCTCAGTGGTTTCGCTGCCTGCTGCGCAAGTGCGGGACCTGAGTTCGAACCTGGTACCAAAAAAAAAAAATCAGATATTGGCAAGGTGTGGTGGCACAATCCTATAATCCCAGCATTCAGGAGGCTGAGGCAGGAGGATCACCTCAAGTTGGAGGTCAGCCTGGGCTCCATGGTGAGTTCAAGGCCAGCCCGGACTACATAGCAAGACCCTGTCTCAAAAAAAAATTCACAAATAAAAACACCCAAAAAACAACAACCAAAAATAATTCAGATATCAAGCCATGATGGTACACACCTGTAATCCCAGGTACTTGGGAGGCTGAGGCAGGAGAATCACAAGTTTGAGGCCAGTCTGTACTACTTAGTGAGACCCTGTCTCAAGAAAAAAAAAAAAGAGCCAATCATGGTGATATACTCATGTAATCCCGGCAATTGAGTCCAACCTGGACAGTTTAACAATTCAGGAAGATCTAGTGTCAAAGATAAAAACAGGCTGGAGGTGTAGCTTAGTGCAGAGGCTCTGGGTTCAATCCCCAATACTGCAAAACAAACAAACAATAAAAGAGATACCATGAAATACATCCAGTGCTACAGACCTCTGTCTCCTCTTATGCCTGCGTTCTGTGCCCCAAGGCCAACCCCAGCGGTGAGTGTTGGGTGTACATTATCAGCTCAGTGAGTACATTTCCCATGAGCCTCTGCTGATGTGCTTGCTGAGAGACTCCCCAGAGGATTCTGGGTGGTTATGAGGGCAGGGCAGGCCCGAAGTCCAGTCCCCTGGGTGGGAAGCCGGTGTGACCCTGGACAGCTTGGCCTGGGCCTCAGCCTGAACCTGTGTATAATGGGACAATAGCAGGAGTTGCTTCCCAGGCTAAGGAGATAGCAAATGTTGTAGAAAAGTGAGTTGTTAGGACTGCATCCTGGTGTTTTCCACCTCCTCCCTCAACCCACCTAGCTCTCTTCTCCGAGGGAGGTTTCAGTGCAGTACTTGCAGATCTCAGACCATGCCAGGTGCGACTTTCACAAAGCTGGGGGTGCAAAAGGACCTTGCAGGGAGGGTCAGGGCCGGCCTTTCTTAGGAGGAGACTGAATCATGAGGCCAGGAGGGTATGGAGGCGGGACAAGCCCTGGGTTCCCCACAAACACACACCCACATAAAGTCTCCAGCCCTGCTGCTCAGGAGCTATATAGTCTTGGGCAAGTTTACCTTCTCTGAGCCTCAGTTCCCTCGTCTGTTGAATGGGGATGTTGATAATTTTTTTTTTGAGACAGGGTCTCACTATGTAGTTCAGGCTGGCCTTGAACTCACTATGTTGCCCAGGCTGAGCTCAAGCTCACAGCAATCCTCCTGGCTCAGCCTCCGGAGTGCTGGGATTACAGGCCTGCAACACCATACTGGGCAGGATGTTATAATTATAGCTTCCTGCCAGGCTTGGTGGTGCAGGCCTGTAATCCCAGCACTTGGGAGGCTGAGGCAGGAGGATTCCCATGAATTCGAGGCCAACCTGGGCTACATAGTGAGTCAAAGGCCAGCCTGAACTATAGAGTGAGTCCCTGTCTCAAAAATACAAAACAAAACAACAACAAAATTGTAGCTTCCTCTGGGGGCTATGGAGAGAATTAGAGATACAATGGGAGCAGGATGGTGCTGGGCTTGTGCTAAGCGCTGGATCCAGTTCCCCAAGCCTGTGACTTCAACCCATTCCCACCCTCTCTCCTGCTGTCCCCTCGGCCTCCTCCTCCTCCTCCTCCTCCTCCTCCTCCTCGGCCTCCCTGCAGATCCTCTGGACTTTCTCCATCTACCTTGAGTCCGTGGCCATCTTGCCGCAGCTGTTCATGGTGAGCAAGACTGGCGAGGCGGAGACTATCACCAGCCACTACCTGTTCGCACTGGGCGTCTACCGCACACTCTATCTCTTTAACTGGATCTGGCGCTACCACTTCGAGGGCTTCTTCGACCTCATCGCCATCGTGGCTGGCCTGGTCCAGACGGTCCTCTATTGCGACTTCTTCTACCTCTACATCACCAAAGGTAGCCCGGGTGCAGGCCCTGTCCTCAGCCCCTGCACTCTCTGGGGCCTGGGGTCCGCACCCTGAGTCCTCTGTCCCTCTTCCTCCCGTGGCTTCGGGGTGCCTGGTCCATGCTCCCTGGCAATCCAGGCCTCCAGCCCTGGCTCCCTGTGAGCCCAGGAGTTTCTGTCCTTCGGATGTCAGAATGCTTCAAGTGGAGATCAGGCCAGGGAGGACGCAGAACCTCGAGGTTCATTCATTTGTTCAAGAAATACATGGCACACTTTGTGTGTCCCAGGCCCGGTGCTAGGCTCCGGGAGTGCAGCAGGAGGAGAAAAGATGGCCGAGCCCCTGTCCCTCCCCTCGGAGCCCCGAGGGGAGGTTGGGGCATGAAGAAGAAGAGAGAATTCCCGGTGGTGAGAAGAGCTGTGAGAGAAAGAAACTAGGGATGTGCTCCTGAGGGGCCGTGGGGGCGACTTCTCCTGGGCCCTCGGGGAGGTGATGGTGAAGCAGACCTGAGAGGCAGGAGTGGGTATGGAGGAGGGAGAGGCTCCTCCCTCAGAGACCCAAGACTCCAGCCTGAGCCCTCAGAGGGGGAAGAGGCGTGGCCAGTGGGGCCTTGGGACAAGTGCAGGGGCCCCGGTTCCCCCTCCGCTGTCCCTGGCCATTCCGCTCGTCCATGGTCCGGAGTCCTGGGTCCATCCCCGCAGGATGCCAGCCGGGCCCAGGGTGCGGGGTCCCTGGTAACACCAGCGTCTCTCTCCACAGTCCTCAAGGGGAAGAAGCTGAGCTTGCCCGCATAGCCCTGGTCCCCGCCAGCCCAGCCCTCTCCTGGGTGGTGATGCACCAGCAGTGGAGAAGAGGGAGGGAGCGAGACAGCGCCTTCCCATCAAGAAGTGACTTTACAGAACCCGCCTCTCCCCACTCCCCATCCTCACTCCTGCTGGGTTTGGGGGGCGGTGGAGGACCCAAGTCGGGGGGAACTCAGGACCTGGGCTGTTTGTACTTTTCTGCCTTTTAGAGAAGACAAAAAAAATTTTTTCCACTAGTTTTTGATTTTGATGAGTCCTTTCCCTTCTACTCTCTGGCCCCAATTTTTATAAACTGTTTTTGAGTGTCCTGTGAGCAGGGCCGGGGCCAGAGACCTTCTCCCTCCCCGGGCCCCTGTGCCCTTCCAGCCCCCAGCCCCCCTTAGCAGTTGCCAAACCCTAATCTGCCAACCCGCCTGACCCCGCCCCTCCGCGGTGGTCCTTGGGTGGGGGGCGGCAGGCGGGGAGGGAGGGAGGCCCAGGAAGGTCTCCCCAGAGTTTTCATAATAACTTTTTCCAGAATTTGGGTTTTTGGTCTTGTCTTGGTCTTTGACAAATTAGGGGGTTTCTGGCTCAGACTCGGGAAGGGGCCGGCCCGTGGGTTCCCACAGCTCTAGCGCCACGTTTTTGTACAGAATTTGATGGTTGATTCTTTGTTCTCTTGAAATAAACAGAGGAAAATGATACCCTCCTTCGCTACTCTTTGTCCTCTCTGCTCATCGCGGGGTCCACCCCAGCTCCCTTCTCTGCTCTGCTCTTGCCTCTCTGTTCATCGAGGGGTCCAGAGGTCTAGGAGGAGCCTGGAGATGAGAAGAGGTTTTGGAGAAAATCTCAGATTCTTCTTACCTCAGCATGGAGAGTGCCTCGTGGTTCTCCAGACCCACAGGAGTCGAGAGCTTTGAGAGCTTTGGTGTTGGAGGCCATGAATGGGCGCCCGGACCACCCCTACCCCGTCAGTGGGCAGTCCCATTTTGTCAAGCATGTTGTGTTTTCTAGAAAAGAAAAAGGATGGATCGGCAGTCTTTCAGAACCAGATTTTCACATTAAAGTCTAGATTTTTGGCTTTTTTTGAAAAGAGTTCCGTCAGTCCGACAGTGCTGGGGCCTCATTTCTGAGTGGCACAGATGGCTGGCGCTGAATGGATGGGATGCGACACGTGCCTCCCCACACCCCCAGGACTTGGCTGTGCGGGTATCATCCTTCATTATCGGGTCAGCACTGATGGCTTTGTGTGGTAGTTCACTTGTGGGGTTAAAAGGTGAGATATTTTCCAGGTCTTTCTCCAGACTGGCTTCACACCTGGTCCCTTTCCTGCGCATATGGTACTTGCTTGGTTCTTGTAAGCATTTGGATTTTTTTTTTTTGAGATAGGGTTCTCACTATGTAGCCCAGGCTGGCCTTAAACCAGCAGGGATCCTCCTGCCTCAGCCTCAGTGCTGGGATTATAGGTGTGTGCCACCAGGCACTACAGCATTAGAACTTCTGACCCTTGGTGTCATCATTTTCTAAATGTCCTCTGAGCTGGACATGGTGGCCCATGCCTGGAATCCCAGCACTTGGGAGGCTGAGGCAGGAGGATCGCTATGAGTTTAAGGCCAGCCTGGGCTACATAGTGAGTCCAAGGCCAGTGTGAACTGCATAGTGAGACCCTGTCTCCAAAAACCAAAACCAAAACCAAACAAAAACCCAACAAGTGGAGGTCTAGTTGTTTTAGAGAAGCCAGGAAGTTCTAGAACTGCACTATCCAATACAGTGTGCGTCTGACATGACTGGTGAACACTTGAAATGTAGCAAACCCAAGGTGAGGTGATTTCAAAACCTAGTATGAAAGAATGGAAAACCCTCACTGTTAATTTTATATTGATTACATGTTGAAATGGTAGTGTTTTGGACATTTGGGCTAAATAAAATATATTTAGGTTCCCTTATCTTGTTTTTCTTGGTGTGGCTGTTGCCAGATTCCAGTCAGACGTTCCTGTTCTGGCATCCCCGGTGGGGGCTACCCTTCCCAGACCAGCCCCTTCCCCACCACTACCTTACCAGGACGTCACCCACTGTGGTTACCTGTCCCACTCCTGCACCGAAGTGTGGGTCGCCTTCATGGACTTTGAAAGATTTAAAGACAAGGATTCCTCTGAATCTCATTCCTGGACTCCAAGTCCCCTGACCCTTCCCCACTCTCACACAGCATGGCTTTATGTTGAGTCCCTGTCACTGTGGGGAGCGGAAGGAAGTTGGACTTTGGCATCAGTGAACACACACCCAGGGTCTCATTGTCCCAGGGTTGGCCCGGATTCTTCTTTGTTTGGTTTTTTTAGAGGCAGGGTCTCACTGTGTAGTTCAGGCTGGGCTGGATCTCACTGTATCCTAGCCTGGCCTTGTACTTGCAGTGACCTTCTGCCTCAGCTTCCCGAGTGCTGGGAGGTGGGCACCACTACACCCAGCTCTGGCCCTGATTCTTTTTGGATCCCCCGCCAGGTACTGGGGATCGAACTCAGGACCTTTCGCTTGTGAGGCAGGCACAGGCTCCACTGAGCTAAATCCCCAGGGCCGCCCCCCCCCCCCCATTCTTGATAGTGCTCTCTCTGAGCAGCAAAAGCCTTTGCATCTCAGCTGCAGGATGTGGTGCCTTGTGCCTCCTCCCATGACTAGTGCAGGGTGAGGTGCTGAGGTGCTACTTAGTGCTTCTGGTCTGGTCTGTCACCCCCTCCCACCTGCTGGCATCATGCCTGGACCCCCAGGACCCCCTGCAGAGACCCCAGGTGACCCGGTGAACAGACAGGAGGCGTACAGTGCTGTTTGCAGGAACCCTCTGGAGAAACAATATCTCTTTACTGCTGCGGGACAGGGGTGTTTAGCTGTCGGGCATCATGGCCAGGCAGGGGGCCTTCAGGGTGGTTGTATAAGGGGACAGGGCAGAGCTGGAGTAAGTCTGGCTGGTGGGGCCGGAGGTGGGCATGTTCACTGAGCTGGAGGTGGACAGCGGGGAGAGGGTGGTCAGCACCACTCCACTCTCATCCAGGCAGCGCTTGTAGGGGACCGCAACATCACTCCAGAGGTCCTGGAATGCCAGGTAGGCTTGGAATATCTGTGGACAGGAAAGGGTGGCTGAGGCTGGCTCGTGCTTGCAGGCCAGGACAGGGACAGGGAGGGAGGTACAGGAACGGCTGTCCCTGCTACAGAGGCTCACGGCTGGGGCCTGGCTTTGCAGGTGGGAGGGCCTTTGGGGCAGCTCTGTGGGAGCCGATGTTCTAGAGCTCCCACCTGCTCTGCAGCAGGGGTGGGGATCCTCACCCAGACAAAGATGGAGAAGAAAGCGAAGGTAATGGCCGCCTTGGCGCTGGCGCTCCCCATGAGGAACTCTTTGGGCGATGAGTGGTGCCACTGGTTGACCAGAAAGCAGAAGCCCATGAACCAGATGACGGCCCAGAGAACTGCGAGGAGAGCAGAGGCAGGCACGCTCAGCGGGGCTTCTGGGGAGTGTGGGCCGGGGCTGGGATCTCTTGCCCTCCTTCTGGTGCCAGCCCGGCCCCCAGGCCCCTCTGAAAGTGAATCCCCCGGTGGAGAGCTTCACCCCAACACGGGAGCCAAAGGCCACCCCCTGGGCAACAGCGGCCTGGTTCCATAAAGCTCCTCAGGCTGGGTGTAGTCCCAGTACTTGGGAGGCTGAGGCAGGAGGATCATGGAGAGTTCATGAACTATGTAGTGAGACAATGTCTCAAAAAAAAAAAAAGGCAGAGTGGGGGAGACTTGTCGAGTCAGAAGGGGTGACCCTTATACCAGGTCTAGAGGAGGTATAATCCGTTCCTGGGCAGAACCCTGGGGCTGCTTGGAGTGAGCCCTAGGCCAGGTGCTGCGAGACAAGGGCCAGGCCCCTGGTTCACCTGCCAGGATGATGTCCAGGAGCCGCAGGACCACCTTGAGGTGGGTGTTGACCACGTGGGCCCTGTGGGCGTCCAGGGCAAGGAAGACCAGGCAGCTGAGGAAGGTGAGGATGCCAGCGCCCACAGCGAGGCTGCAGGCTGTGTGGTTGCTGTGGAGCACACAGTGCAGCTGCGGGGACTCAGTTGTGTTCTGGTAGCCATCGGTCAGCAGGGAGGAGAAGACAACCAGGGCGAAGACCTGGGGACCCGAGGGACCGGACCAGAGCTCAGAGCCCTTGGGAGCCTCAGAGTCCACCCTTTGTCCCTGCTTCTCCCCCGACTCGGCCCCATCCTCTCCCCAACCCTACCCAGCCCCCTTGCTGCCCCCCTTCTCCGCCCTCGGCCCCTGTGCCCACCCCATCCTCTGCACCACCTGGCTCCCCGCTCCAGACCCCATCCAGCCCCACACTCAGAGACGCTCTGCCTTCCTCTGCTCATCCCGGCTCCCCAGCACCCCTGCCTCGCTCCACACTCTCCTGCCACCAAACCCAGGTCCCCAAGCTCAGCTGGACCATCCAAAACGGTTCAGATTCACAGAAAAGTGCGCAGAGAGGTGTGAAACACACCCAGCACTCCCTGCCCACAACCAACAAATATTAACATTATGTTTATGGCTCAGGACTTTTTTGGGGGGTGGTACTGGGGAGTGAAACCTGAGCCTTCACACTGAGCTTCATCCCCAGGCCTTTTTATTTTTATTTTGAGATTGAGTCCCGCTCAGTTGCTAAGTTGTCCAGTTTGGGTCCAACTTGAGATCCACCTGCCTCAGCCTCCCAGAGTGCTGGGGTTATAGATGTGCACCTCACACCTGGCTTGTTTTCTATTTTATTTATTTAGTTTATGTTTGGTTGTTTTATTTTACTTTATTATTATTTTTAATTATTATTATTATTTTTTGGTACCGGAGATCGAACTCAGGTCCTTGCGCTTGCGCAGCAGGCGGCGAAACCACTGAGCCAAATCCCCGGCTATTTTACTTTATTTTTGAGACAGGGTCTCAGCATTTCAGGGTAGTCTTGAACTCACTCTTCCTGGCTTAGCCTCCCAAGTGTTGGGACTACGGCTGGCACAACCTGGGTTCTTAAGTAATAGAACTCAGGCACAGAGAGGACAAGAAATGGACTGCACTTGGGCAGCTGGGAAGCAGCAGGGCCTGGATTTGAACAGCTGTCTGGCTCCTCTGTCTGCTCTGGACCCCTGCCTGTGCTCCTCATTCTGGACCAAACACCCCAGGGGGGGATTTTGATCAGTGCAGCTGTATAAAGAGGAGCAGCCTGGGCCGGGGGTGCAGCTTAGTGGTGCAGTACCTGCCTGGCAAGCACAAGGCCCTATGTTCAATTCCTGGTACCAAAAAAAAAATAAGTCGAAGCCCAGTTATTTGCCAGACAGTCATGTCAAAGCGTGGCAAGGGCCATACTGGGCAAGGGTAGAGCCGCGCGAGCCCCAAGGTTAGGGTGTGATGGCAGGAGGGGAGCATGGAGCCAGCTGGGGAGCCAGGGAGTGGCATGGGACAGGGTCAAGGCTTGCAGGGGCCAAAGTCATGGTGGAGTCAGGAGGTAAACAGATCCCAAGCAGACCATGACGAGGAGAGGCAGGCAGGACATTTGAGGGATCTGGGTGAGACGTGGCTGGAAAGCCGGCAGGAGTCAGGGCCCGAGAGACCGGGGCTGCAGCTGGGCGCTGTGGAAAGTGAAATTCCATGACTGCATTGATGTTCGAAGGGTTCTGAGCCGAGGACAGCCAGGGTCATCCTGGGGGGGCAGAGAAGTCCCCGGGGTCCTGTGGCAGAGCTAGGGGAGACGAGAGGCCACAGACCCGAGAGCAGGCTGGTGCAGGGGCCAGAGCCCTGGGGAGTCTGGAAATATCCAGGACGTAAAATTGGACTTGTGGATGGACTGGATGTGACAGTACTGGTGCCCGGAGATTTTGGGGAGGCTGAGAGAAGAGCATGTCTAACATGGCGCCCTCTTCAGAATCGCAGCTCCAGCAGGACAGGCTCCGTGGGGACACTCCTGTCCCCAGCACCCGCCGCACGACTGCGCAACTCTGGCTTCTTGTTACTGTGTCCTTCAGAGCGGGTACAGGGAAGGCCGAGGCGGCTTTGGGTCCGTCCAGCCTTTGTAGCTTTATGACGACGATAACAGTGCGGATGAGGGGTCCCTCTTCACCCCCGATGCCGCTGCTGCCCTGAGAGGGAGGCTGGACCAGGACCAGGTCTGTGCAGGACGCGCCTTGGGATGATGGTCTGGGGCAAAGCCGGGTCAAGGATGGGAACTTGCATCGATCAGCACTGAGCCCTCATCCATTCTACCTGCACCAGCCCCACGAAGGCCGTGTTATTAATGCCTTTCTGTTTCACAGGTGATAAATCAAAGCCATTAAGGTGGAGTGGAAAGAGCCAGACTCTGTCAGCTGTGTGGCCTTGAGCAAATCCCTCAGGTCCTGGAGCCTCAGTTTCCCAGTGTGACTGTGCTGCAATGCAGGGTGACACGGGGTGTCAGGCTCAGCCCTAGTAGGTGCTCAGGAAAACCATGGCTCTCCGGAGTTGCCCCAGAGGGGAAGCGTCCCTTCAAGGTCACTCATCGGCAGGGTGGGATTGGAATCTGGCTCTTCGACTTCCGGGCCCGGGGCTGTTTGCTCACCAACAAGCTGGAACCACAGCCTTGGTGGAGCCAGGGACACCGGAGACCTGGGGAGGGGGCACAGCTAGCCCAGGGCCCCGAGTGCAGCCTCCCCAGACCCTCCTGGCCTGTCCCTGGGGAGGAAGCAAAGACTCATCAGTTAAGGGAGCAGCTGGCAGGCGGCAGGGAGGACAGGAGCACCAGCTGCCCGGAGGCTCCCTGCTGAGCTGCCAGGCCAGGGGGTACGGAGGCAGCGGGCAAAGTCTGTGACCGGCGTGTCTGGCACAGCCAGGACCCTGTCTTTCCCCGCCGCCCGCACTGTCCACACCAGCTGGGCCTCCTTCTCTCCGCCACCTGCCCTTCCTTCTGGCTTTGGGGACAGGCTGGCGAGTCTGGGTCTCCTTGGGCAAGCCTCAGTTTCCCCTTCGGTTACACAGGGGCAAGAATGTTGTAGTGAGGAGTAAAGAAGCCGCCACCAGCAAGGGATGGGGCACTGGGGACTCAAGTTCCTGTCACCCTGGGCACCCTCCACCCATCTCTGTCCTCGATCACGAGGTATGATTTGTTCCAATAATAACTGCTATTTAAAGAAAGCTTCACACTTGCCAGGCCCCTGCTCAGCGGCATTAACTTGTCTCGCTACCAGTCCTTCCCACTTCATCTGTGAGGAGGCTCAGAGAGGGCGAGGAACTTGCTCCAGGTCACACAGTCAGGGTAATCGTGCAAACTGCGGGACAGAAGAAGGCACCCCTGAGAATGGAAGCTGCTGCCATGACAACTACTCGGGGACTGGCCCAGGACAACCAGGGATGATAGGTTTAGATAGGTTCAAAGCAGGTCCCTTAGCTCCAGGGAGGGAATCCTCCGGATTAGGAGCCTGTGAGGACACTGGCAGCTTGATACAGAGCTGGATCGAATTCTCTCGTGTCCTTGGCCTGTTTCCAATCTGTCAAGGGCAAAGAGCAGGTGGCAGCCCACGGCTGCACCTCTGACCCTGCACAGTGATGTCCACAGAGGAGCAGTGATCGCCCAAGGCCATACAGCAGAGTCTGTGCTGAGTGAAGATTTGACTCCTAGCTGGGCGTGCTGGTGCACACCCGTAGTCCCAGTACTCAGGAGGCAGGAGGATTGCCACGAGTTTGAGGCTATGAATTCAAGGCAACTTGAACTACAGAGCGAGACCTTGTCTTTTAAAAACCAGAAAATGGCTGGGTGTGATGACGCACGCAGCAGGGCTGCAGTTGCAGACTCCAGAGGCCGAGGCAGGAGGATTGCTGTGAGTTCAAGGCCAGCCTGGGCTACACAGTGAGTTCGAGGTCAGTGCGGACTACAAACCAAGACCTTGTCTCAAGAATCCGCAGAAAGTGGGGTTCAAGGCACCTCCTTTTAATGGCTCTTTCGTGCAAGGAGTCAGTCATGCTGAGTGGTGTGGGGTGCAGCTGGGTGCTTGGTGAAAGGCAGCTTCCCTTATCAGATCCCTTTTTCTTCATTTTCCCTCCTGCCCCCTCCTGTCCCTCCCTCCAGCCCCACTCTGAGAATCCTTCTGTCCCCTGTGCCCCATTCCCCCAGAGGCCTCACCCCCGAGAGGATCCGTGTGATGCTCTTTGGCCTCCTCAGGAAGCGCACGGTCTCGCTGCTGGCAAGGTCCTGCAGGCTTTTGGGGAGGCGCATGGTGGCCGCTGTCCTGCCAGGGCCCCAGGGCGTGGAGACACGGGTGCTGCGGGCCCACCGGGTTCAGCAACTGTAAGACAGCACAGACCAGATGTCAGAGTTAGGGTGCGGGCAGGGCTGCGAGGGTCTCGGAAGCTGGTTGTGTGGGGCTGGGCACTGCCAGGACTGAGGAATCCAGGCGGGGGGTCCCAGGGGTGGCGCAGGGTGAGGGGATCGGGCCAAGAAAGGGCGCGGGAGGGCTGTGCCATGTCCTTTGGCACAGGAGGCAGAGGCCCTGTGTAAGGACAGCCTTCTTTCTGTTGAGGGACACAGGTGGGAGATTCTGGGAGACCGGAGGAGTCCCTTTCAGGTTTGGGGGTGACCAGTATTCATATTATTTTGTTTTTCAGACTGTGTCTCCATATGTCGGCCAGGCTGGCCTCAATCTCACGGTATCGTCCTGCCTCAGCCTCCTGAGAGCTGGGATGACAGGGGTGTGCCGCCACGCCTGGCTCAGCACCCACTATAGAGAACCCGGGCACTCGGGGTACGTTTCAGGCTCTCCGTGGGACGTGGCGCTGTTTCTCAGAGTGAGAGCGCCCCCTTAGAATTCCGCTCCATCTTTCATAAAAATGCCAGGCTGAGCGGGGACGTGGGGGCCTCAGAAGCAAGCTGTCCTCACAGAATGAGACTAGGCCCCTGGTGCTAGTGGAATGGCGGTGCTGGGGCTTGCGGGTGCCGCTGCCTGAGGAAGAAGGACCACCTCGACTCTCAGGACCAGTGGGCGTCACCTGAAGGCCGCCTCTGCCTTCTTCTGCTTCCTCTTTTTCCCGCCTTTTCCTTCCTCCCTGTCTGATTGGCTGCACCTAAGTCCCGCCCCCTTTCCCTGCCTACTCAGGAGCTGATTTGAGCGAGGGCGTGACCTAGGCAGACGTTGGGCTGTTTACCGTTGGCGGCCTGCGCGAGGGAGCCCGGCCCGGCCCCTCTCCTCGCGCCTGTCCCGCCCCTTCCCTTTGAAGTCCCGGGACAAGGAGACAACTTCTGTGGCGCATGCGCCTCACAAAACGAAGTTGGCGGTGGAGGAAAAAAAAACATGCATAGCACGCATGTGCAATTGAGCAAGGCAGTCGGAAGAAATAGACTCCTCTGAAAGACACAGGATTTGCGCATGCGTTTTACTGCTGGTTGAAGCTGAACCCGGGAGCCCAGAACACCTTCCTGCACATGCGCAGGAGGCTCAATGACAGTCCAGCGTTGGCTAAGGTGAGGGAAGGGCGGGGGGATTGCATGGCCGGGGCAGGGCGGCCCTGCATCCCCTATGTAGCTTTCCGAGCATTTCCTATACGCCTAATATCCACCTCGCCGCCTAGACCCCGCAGAAACCAGTTGTACCACTGCAGGTTCTCTGGGCCTGCAGAACACCCTGACCTTTGACCACATGCTAGGATTCAGGTCCAGTGTGGGAGGGGTCGGGCAAAAGAGGGTACGCGGCGGGCGGACCGGGCTCTGCGCCCTGCCTGGGGCAAGGATGGCCTTGGAGAATGCGCCACCAGCCGAGTTTCCTCTGGATGACATTTGACTCCGCTCTTTTCCCTCTGTTCAGGCTCCGGGGAAAGGGTCTGGCCATGCTGCATGTGACCCGAGGGGTCTGGGGGTCCAGGGTCCGAGTGTGGCCACAGTTGTCAGCGCTCCTCGGGACCCCTCGGGCACTGTCATCCCTGGCGGAAAAGATGGGGGTGTACCGCAAGATGTGGAACCCCACAGAGCCCCGCGACTGGGCCCAGCAGTACCGAGAGCGCTTCATTCCGTTCTCCAAGGAGCAGCTGCTCCGCCTCCTGATACAGGTACCGCCTGTCCAGGGTTCGAGTTTTGGGGACTACGATTCCCGGCAGGCCTCGGGGCGGTTAGGCCCTGCATGCCATGGAGGGCTGTCGCGCATCCTCTTGGGAGTTGTAGTTCCAGATTCCCTCACATGGCTGTGGTGAGGTGGAATGCAGGGTCAAAAGCTCAGAGATCACAAACAGGAACGATTCCCCGGGGAAGGGCTCTCTGGGGCATGATTTCTCCCTCTATAAAATGGGCATAATCATCACCCTCCTTATTACTATTTCTACTACAAAATAAAAATACAGTCGCAAAGCTATCTATGATCATAATTGTTATCACACTATTTGAGCTCTTAATTTGTGGCACTGTGCCAAGTGTTTGTCACACATTTGCTAACCAGAACCACTGACTAAGGGAGGTACCACTATCATCCCTGTTTATAGATGAGGTTGAAGAAGCGAGCAGGAGGAAAAGGACTTGCCCAAGGCCACAGCACAGTGGCCCAGCTTTGCTTGAAACCTGATGTCTTCTTAAATTTTTCGCCCTTGGATGACTTATTCACCTTAGCCTAATCCTGGAACTGCTCCAGAGTTTAAGCTCTTACCCCACCATCTTCACACCTATTATTACTGAGGATTGTCAGTCACTCACTTAAAAGTTATTGAATCCTTGCTGAGTCTTGTGCTCCACTTCACACACACACACACACACACACACACACACACTCGCACAGACACAGATAATCTCAGCAAACTCTCACCAGAGCCCTCTGAGAAAGAGGATGTGGATCCTCTGCTGCTAGGAGGAAAGTGAGCCTTGCTGAGGTGAAGACATTTAACCAGGCACCAACACAGGCTCAGTAGCGAAAGTTTCAATATGTACACCTGGAATCAGGCCAGGATTGGAGTCACCTCACACAGACGCTGTGGTCCTCAGGAGATGACTTCCTTGTGCCTCAGTTTTCCCCTCCGAAGAATGGGGGTTAAATTTTACCAACCCCTTGCAGTCTCCGGAGAATGATGTCATGCAGACAGCACCAGACACACCATAAACATTGTGCCAGTGTTCCTGTGTTAGCACTGAAGCAGTAACTCGGACCGTCACCATTTTAAGCCATTTGTCTTTTAAAAAATTAATTAATTAATTTTCTGGTACCGGGGATTGAACTCAGGACCTTGGACTTTCGAGGCAGGCGTGGTGCCACTGAGCTAAATCTCCGGCTCTTGTTTTGTGTTTTTGAGGTAGGGTCTCACTATGTAGTTCAGGCTGGACTTGAACTCATGGCAATACTCCTGCCTCAGCCTCCCCAGAGCTGAGATTACAGGAGTATGCCACCATGCCTGGCAGACCAACTGTTTTTCACTGTATCCAGCTGCCTCAGTTTCTTGATCAGTAAAATTGCTCAACCCTTCCCCCTCAACCCCAAATAAAACAAATTTTAAAAAGCCTGGAGTTCCAACCATGCATTTGGGCTTCTGGGACAAGAATTCCTCCCATGGGGAGGGGAAAGAGCCCTAAAGAGATTTTGCTTCCTGAGGTGACAGGAATTCCACTCCAGTCCGGCAGAGAAGGCGGCCTTGGAGGAGTTCTCCGCCCACGTGGACTTCTGCACCCTGTTCCACTACCACCACGTCCTGGCCCAGCTGCAGGTGAGGTCGGCCCCTCTGGCCCCGTCCCACTTGTTTGTCCATCCATCCATCCATCCATCCATCTAATACACAGTTGCTCACACCTTGTAGCACTGGGGACCCCGCAGTGGATAGGACAGATGCAGCCGTACACTCATGGAGCTGACTTCCCTGATGGGGAGACAAGAAGTAAAAGGAGAATAAGATCTGATGCCCAGGAGTGCCGTGAAGGACAGTGAAGCAGAGTGGTGGGATAAAGAAGGATGAGATGGGGGGCTTGTATTTTCGTTGTTGTTTTGGTTTTTTGAAACAGGGTCTCACTATGTATCCAGGCTGGTCTTGAACTCACTTTGTAGCCCAGGCTGTTCTTGAACTTGTAGTGATCCTCCTGCCTCAGCCTCCTGAGTGCTGGCATGACAGGCCTCCTGGTGGGGGCCTATTTTAGCTGGGGTGGTCAGGAAAGGACTCCTTGAGAAGGTGAATCGAATGAAGAGAGGGACTGAGGCCGATGGCTGTGTTCGGGAGGATGTTCAGGGCAGAGGGAGGCCAGGAGAGTGCACGGAGGAGAGGAGAGACTCGGGGCAAATGGTCCTGGGGCGCTGAGGACTTTGCTTTGAGCCTGAGCAGCCGGGCGCCACAGGAGGCTGTGATCAGAGAGGAGAGGCAGCACTGGCCGGCTGTGGGTGCTAACAGGCTCCCTCTGGCTGCCCTGTGGGGAGCAGACTATTAAAGAACCTATCATACTTGTTCAGCTCGAGACAATGGAAGCTTGAATGCTGAGAGTAATGGCCTGGCCTGGTGAAGTGCTGTTGCGTGGAAGGCAACATTAGGCCCTGTGGGTGGGGTGGCTGAGGAGGCAGCGTGAGCCTCCCAAGGATGCAGCTGCCCTTGACTGAGATGCGATGTGGGGAGGCAGATCTGCAGGGAGCAGTGAGAGCTCAGCCTATCACTTTCGTTGGGTGGGTGACCTTTTTCAGGAGCAGAAACAAAATCCAGGGCAGGGATATTACTAAGAAGAGGTAGCAAGAGCAGGAGAATTGGCACTGGGGAGGGAGTGGCTTCAGCAATCAGCCAGCACTGCCAAGAGCAGGCAGGAATGGCCATCTGTGCGGGGCCACTTCCTCATGGTGTTCTTCCCACAGCTCTGCTCAGTCCTCAGTCTCGGCTACTTCCTCCACCTAACTCTGAGGGGTAACGCTCTCTAGAGTCCTGCCTTGAACAAGGCCTCTTTTAACCTACACAGTTTCCTCCTCCTTAGTTTCGACCACCAACTTGTTCAACTTCATGTCTACTAGAGCAAACTGGTGCACATCACATCCACCATGTTCTGTCTCCCAGCCAGGGTTCTGTGCATTCCAGATCTCTGTGACTGATGTTCTGCATATTCAAACTCAGCTCCTAAAATGAACTCATTGTTTTCTTTGTTTCTCTGTTGTTTTTCTTCTTTTTTCTTCCTGTACTGGGAATTGAACTCAGGACCTTATGCTTGCCAGGCAGGGATGGTGCCACTGAGCTATATCCCCAGCCCCCTTTAGTTTGTTTTTTTTAGACAGGGACTCATAATGTAGCCCAGGCTGGCCTCCACCTCATGGCAATCCTTCTGCCTCAGCCTCCTGAGTGCAGGGATTACAGGTGGGCCCCACCACACCAAGCTCTTGCATTTAGGAATTTGAGTTGCCTGTTGGACAGGTAGGTAGAGAGATGACTGGAAGATGTGGGTCCAGAGGTGAGAGGAGAGGCCTGGGCTGAGAAAGTGATAGAACGATCTTGATGGTACTTAAAGGGACCATCAAGGGAATCAGTGACATCTTAAACTGGGCCACTATGACACAGATACTATAAACTGGGTAGCTTTCACAACCAAATATTTAAACTGGGTGTGGTGGCCCATGCCTATAATCCCAGTACTTGGGAGGCTGAGGCAGGAGGATCGCCATGAGTTGAAGGCTAGCATGGTCTCCATAGTGATTTCAAGGCCAGCCTGGACTACACAGTGAGACCCTGTCTCAAAAACCCCATAATAAAAAAAATATAAAGAGAAAGAATACAGGTGAATACACCTGAATGGCTGAGGCAGGAGCTTGTACACAGGGATGCTGGGGCGGGTGGAGGTGGCAGAGGCCGGGACTGAAGAGCTGTCTCTGGGGGAAGCGCCCGGGGAGGTATCAGAGCAGCTTCCTTGTTCACTAGCAGGTGGTGACCTTGGAGGTGACCTTGCTCTGATCCTGCTTTCTCCTCTGCATTCTCCCAGTGAATTCACTGCAGAAATATTTACTGGGCGCCCACGGTGTCTCCTTGAATGGCCCAGGCCCCAGGGTGCAGCCATGGGCTCCACGCTAGAGAGCAGGAGAGGAGCGCTGGTGTGGGGTCCCTGACACTGCGCAGGGCGCCCTCCTCACTTCCGGGCCGGGGCTCTGAGCTGTAGAGATTTACTCAGTTTAGGAGGCTGGAAGTCTGAAGCCTGCTGTCGGCAGGGTCAGCTTCTTCTACTGGGTCGGAGGCACTGTTCCATCCTCTCCAGCTGGTGGTCGCTGTGGCCGGCGTAGAGACCTCATTCCCACCCTTCCTCCAGCTCCACTTGCTTTTCTTCCTCAGGGTGTCTGTCTGTCTGTCTCTCTCATCCTCTCTCTCTTTGTGGTTTTTTGAGAAAGGTCTGGCTATGTAGCTCAGGCTGGTCTTGAACGTTCCATGAGCCTCTTGCCTCAGCCGCCAGAATGCTGAGATTACAGGCATGCGCTGCCGGATCCAGAAGGTGATATGAATTTTTTTTAAAAGTAAAAAATTTTTTCCTTGGGGGAGGGACATGACTATTTAGGGGATATTCTTCTACCCATTCTATCCAATTAAATTCGAATTTCATATAAACTGAAGAACTTTTTTAGTGCAAGCATGTCTTATGCAATCCTGTCTTCAAATATTGCATGACACATACTTCAACCAAAAATTTTTCTATGTGTGTACATATTAAAAACCGCAGGGGCCAGGGATTTAGCTCAGTGGTTTCGCTGCTTGCTGCGCAAGCTCAAGGACCCAAGTTCGATCCCCGGTACCAAAAAACAAACAAA